CTGGAGACGGTGTTCCAGCCATTGTCACGTAAACCTTATCTTATTCACATGTAAAAGAAGCATTAAATGCAAGCAAGGCAGTTTTCCTGACTTTCAGTCAAACCTGTCTGTCCACACACACTTTGATCCTGGGCTGGCCAGGTTTCAAAAATGCATTATCACAAGGTTACAAATCATCCATCTACCAACCCCCCATTCCCACAATCCACTTTCTGTTCACTTCTGGCCTTTTCCAACTGCCATCTGGGGTTTTGGGGGGCCTGGAGAGAACCAAGAACCCCTGAGAGAGCTAGGACTACTAAGCAAGGAAACCCAGGGCAGGGGTGAGGTGTAGGATGATGTCAAGGGGGAAGGATAGCTAGCAGTCAAGGAACAAGAGGTTAATGTAATCATCAATTTCTTAGGCGTCTTTGAGTTGAAATCATTGAAAAAATTCATGCAGGAGGGCCTCCCCCTACAAACACACTCTGAAAAAAAACCTGTCATAATAAATATGTTCCAGAAATTCTACCACATTGAAATTCACAGTAACCCCTCCCATATCCTCTCTCCTCCAGTTGGCATCAACTGTCAACAGGCAATGCCATGAGTTCTTTGTGCCCTGACAACCACAGCAGCATGGGTCCCTGACCATGTTCAGGAGCTTTCTGGGCACGGTTTCATCTGCTCACTGCCCCATCTTGAGCAGTGGCCAGAGCAGAGGGTGGGCTGTTCTTATCTTGTAGAGAAGACAAAATGCCAGTGGGGTTGAGTGCCCTGCACAGATTTCTCAGTGGGTGGTGGGGCCAGAACTCAAAGCCACATTTACAAACTTCTCTCCTGCCAAAGAGGGTGGGAGGGGTGGTGGGAGGGGTGTGATGAGAGGTGGAGACCAGTGATGGAATCCCTGCTCTAAGAGTTGAGACAGAGGGGACCGGGGGGAAGAAAATGAGCCAGATGGAGCAGGTTTTATGACTCCATTAGGAATCATTCTGAGTCCCCCATGGACTCGACGGTTACACTGTTAGAGCTCTTTTCGCCTGTACCCTTTTTCCTTTTTTAACAGTGGTATGAAATATACATAATATAAAATTTAGCATTAGTGACATTTATTACATTCACAATGTTGTACAAGTTAGCACCCCTATCTAGTTCCAGAACATTCTCACCATCCTAAAAGGAAAGCCCGGTGTCCATTATCTGTATTGAGAGTCGGCATTATGTCTTGAGGACCTGGTTGGAGCCTAACACATTGATATGTACAATATATGCATGAATATAGACAACCCCAGCCTCCCAATAAAGAAGTTTTTTTTAAGTATTACCTTGAATATATAAACTTTTTAGGGTAATATTTAATAGGTCTTCTAGTGACACATGTTTTTTTGTTTTGTTTTGTTTGTTTTTTAAACTTATCTTTATTGTTGAATATATTACAGATGTTCCTCCTTTTCCCCCTATTGATCCCCTCCTCCCCATTCCCACCTCCCTCCTGCCTTTCCCCACACTGTTGTCTGTGTCACCGGTTATATATACATGTATGTAAGTTCTTTGGTTTATTTCTTCCCACCCTGCCACCCAACTGCCCTCCCATCTGGCAACCAACAACATGTTCTCTGACAGCAGTTCTCAACCAGTGGGTTGTGACCCCTTTGGGGATCAAATGACCCTTTCACAGGGGTCGCCTAAGACATAACAGTAGCAAAATTACAGTTATAAAGTAGCAACGAAAATAATTTTATGGTTGGGGGTCACCACAACATGAGGAACTATATTAAGGGGTCATGGCATTAGGAAGGTTGAGAATCACTCATAGATTCTATGAGAATGTTTCCGTTCTGTTTGTTCATTTTGTTTGTAGATTCAATTGTCGATAGATATATATTTATTGCCATTTTGTTTGTTCATATTTTTGGTCTTCTTTTTCTTCAAGAAGATCCTTCAACATTTCATATAATAATGGTTAGGTGGTGATTAATTCCTTTAGCTTTTTCTTGTCTGGGAAACATCATGTGGCCATCAATTCTGAATGATAGCTTTGCAGGACAGAGTAATCTTGGTTGTAGGTTCTTGCTTTTCATCACTCTGAATATTTCTTGCCACTCCCTTCTGGCCTGCAAAGTTTCTTTTGAGAAATCATCTGACAGCCTTATGGGATTTCCCTTGTAGGTAACTAACTGCTTTTCTCTTGCTGCTTTTAAGATTCTCTCTTTGTCTTGAAACTTTTGCATTTTGATGATGATGTCTCTTGGTGTGGGCCTCTTGGGGTTCATCTTGTTTGGGACTCTCTGTGCTTCCTGGACTTGTATGTCTGTTTCCTTCATCAAGTTAGAAAAGTTTTCTCCCGTTATTGTTTCAAACAGGTTTTCAATTTCTTGTTCTCTCTCTTCTCCTTCTGGCACCCCCAAGATGCGAATGTTGGCACATTTGAAGTTGTCCTAGAGGCTCCTTACACTATCCTCATTTTATTGGATTCTTTTTTCTCTTTGCTGTTCTGATTGGGCGTTTTTTGCTTCCTTATATTCCAAATCAATGGTTTGCTTCTTGGATTTACCTACTCTACTATTGATTTCCTGTAAATTATTCTTTATTTCAGTTAGTGTATGCTTCATTTCTGACTAGTCCTTTTTTATGCTCTTGAGGCCCTCACTAAATTCATTGAGCATCCTTATAAGCAGTGTTTTGAACTCTGCATTTGTTAGGTTGCTTATCTCCATTATGCTTAGTTCTTTTCCTGGAGTTTTTTTCTGTTCTTTTATTTGGAACCTTTTCTTTGTCTCCTCATTTTGGCTGCTTCCCTGTGTTTGTTTCTATGTATTAGGTAGAGTTGCTATGTCTCCTGGGCTTCCTAGGGTGGCCTATTGTAGTAGGTATCCTGTAGGTCCAGTGGCACAGCCTCTCTGATCTCCCAGCTCGGCCCTCGAGGTGTACCCCTCGTGTGGACTTTACATCTTTCTGTTGTAATTGAGTCTTGATTGCTGTTGGCACATCAATGGGAGGGATTTACTTAGGCTGATCAGCTGCAAGGACTGGCTGTGCCCACTAGCCACTGACCTCTGACTACCTTGGATGATCAGCTGTGCAGGGGCCCACCACACAGAGCAAGACTTACTTCAGCAGGGCTCTGGTACCCACTGAGTCCATTCCTTGAGTGTGTCACTTGTGGAGGTGATTGGGTGGTGGTACTTCGCAGTATTCTGAAGCTGTCCACAGGGTGTGCTGGCTCTGGGGCCAGGTCAGCCACTGCCTGGTGTTCTACCAGGGGCCACCAGGCATAAGCTACAAAGCAGTCTGCAGATGGGTGCTTCTTGTGCTGGGCTTGCCTCTGGTACTTTTTGAGCTGCCTCCCCCACGCTGGAGCCTGGAGGGTGCGACCTGAGTAAGTCCACTCGGGCCCTTTAAGAGGAACTGCCTGAGGCTCCCACAGCCGCAGCCTCCTCAACCTCAGTTCCCACTGGTTTTACAGCCAGAAGTGATGGGGGCTTCTCTTCCTGGCACTGGAACCCTGAGCTGGGCGCCTGGTGTGAGACAGGGACCCTTCAGTCCTCAGGGAGGACCTTCCCAACCGAAGTGTCCCTCCTAATTTTTATCTGCCACACGTGGGTGTGGGAGCAGCCCGTCCGTACCTCCTGCTGCTTTAATTCTGTAGTTGTAGGACTTCCATTCAGCTCAGTTTCAGGTGGCTTTGAATGACGGTTGTGCTGTTTAGTTGTAACTTTGATGTGGTCGTGGGAGGACGCGATACTGCATTTACCTACGCCACCATCTTGACCGGAAGTTTTTCTAGTGACACATGTTTTAAATCACATACTATATAAAATAATTCTTTAACTTAAAAATATGTCTTTCCCCCAACCCTCCACACTCACACCTTTGATATCGGTGTCCTCACTACAGGTTTTGAGTCAGCCACCTGCAGTCTGGTTTATATTATTGCTTTGAGTCCTGGCCACCTGCTCACTGAGCAATCGTGTGCAGGGCACTCAACCCTGCTGGCGCCGTGTCTTCTCTGGAACATATACCATTCCGAAGAGAGCCGGCTATTCTTATCATCCCAGAAGATGTTTAATTTTTTTTTAATTACAGCTTTTTTGAGATATAATTCACATACTGTAAAATTCACCTGTCGAAAATGTACAATTTGGTGAATTTTAGTATATTCACAGAGTTGTGCAACCATCACTGCTCTAGAATTGCAGAACATTTTAACACCCTAAAAGAAACCTGTACCATTTGCTGTCACTCCCCTTTCTCCTTTCCCCCCAGCCCTGCAATCACTGATCTGCTTTCTGTCTCCATAGATTTATCTATTCTGGATATTTCATGTACATGTATCATATAATATGTAGTTTTTTGTGTGTCTGATGTCTTTCACTTTGCATAATGTTTTCAAGGTTCATTCATGCTGTAGCATGTGTCAGCACTTCATTCTTTATGACTGCTTAGTATTCCATTGTATGGACATACCACACTTTGTTGATCTATTCCTCAGCTGATTGGCATTTGGGTGCTTCCAACTTTTGGCTAGCACAAATAGCACCCAAATTCTTCTCTTGGCTACCCTTTTCAGTTTGTTTACCCTCATTTTATACATGCAACACTGAGGCTAAAAAAATGGGGACTTCGGTTTCATTTTGTGGCCGCCTCTGTCTAGAGGGTCAGGGCTTATCTCAGGGCAGAGTAGCTAGTTGACCCTGAAAAAGTGAAAGATGCTGGTTCCTCAAGCCAGGAAGAGCCCGAGAGCCCTCCCCTCCTGGGAGGACTGGTCACTCACCTTTCTCACCCGTGTGGAGTGTGAGGCACAAAGGCACATGTGTATCAAGGATGCATGCTCCTAAGACCCTCTCCTGGGCTGGCTCAGGTTTGGCAGTGAGAGGGAGCTGCGTGGAATCCAGCGGGAGCTCTGCGGTGTCAGCAACCTGAGGCCCTGCTGGGGAGGCAGTCTGAGGTTCAACCTGCGGCAAAGCCCTGGCCTGCCCTCCTTCTGATGTCCTGGGGAGCCAGACCTCTCCGCTGAAGCCATGGGCCCCTCCCACCCTGCACTCCCACCCGTGACGAGGCTTGGCCTGTGCTGCCTCCTTCTGATCCCGGCAGGTGAGTGAGTGTCATCACTGGGACATCATGTCACACCGGCAAGCTCACGGGCTGTGTTGGAAACTCCTGCAGGTGGGCTCATGGCAGCCACCAGATCTTCAGGGGACTTCAAGGAGCTCATCTGCAGTGAGCAGGAGGCAGGGCACTCACAGCTCCCACACTGTAGCTGCCACCCCGAACCTCCCCTAGCTTCATGTTCCTCGGCTGTAAACGCGTCATGCGTGAACCTCCCAGGTCGATTGCAAGGGTCACACGAGATGAGCGTGACTAGCGCCTAGAATGCAGCCGGCACTCGGTACACGGCGACTATTGCCATCGGTATGCTTTTCTGGGTTTTAGTCTCCACTTGCTCAGGCAGCAGAACCTGAGGTAAAGCCGTCGCAGACAGACACGAGGGATTCCATCAGATACTTTGGGACACTTTTTTCTAGCTCCTCAGTTCTAGGCTGAATGTTGTCTCTAGGTCTGACTTCTTCCCCACTCCCCTGCCTTGACACCCCTCCCAACACTTATTTCCACGCCTTCTTAACAAATGTCCAATGGACATTTCTTGTGCTCCAACCATGTGCTGGTTGCTTTGCTAAGTTCTCATACACATTATTAGATTTAATCCTCAACAGAGTTGTGAGATAGGTTTTGGGTAGCGTCCCCACTAACCAGATGAGGAAGCTGAGGCTCAGTGAGGTTGAGTGGCTCTGATGTGAAGTTGAGCACCCATCACCATGGACCCCCAGAGACCCTACTCTTCCTTCCTATCCCACAGGGTCAGTGCAGCGAGCCCCCCACGCCCAAGCTGAGGATCGCCTCTTCAAACACCTCTTTAGGGGCTACAACCGCTGGGCACGGCCAGTGCCCAACACCTCAGATGTGGTCATCGTGCGCTTCGGGCTGTCCATCGCCCAGCTCATCGATGTGGTATGCCTGTCCCACCACCCTTTGAGCCCTGGGGATCAGGCCCCAGATCACTCATGGGCCCCTTTCCCGGGGTCCTCCCTCCCTTCCCAGCTCTAGCCCCTTCCCTCTGGCCACCTCAGCCCTTCAATCAGAGCATCCCTCCCAGCCCGGAGCCCCTCCTGGGAGGGCACTGAGTTAGCAGTGGGTTTTCTAGATGCTTTGCTCGTTCCACTGGACACAAACCCAGAGGACCCAAGTGGCCTGTGTGATCCTGAAGAATCTGAGTAAGGGGTACAGTGTCGGGAGGGTGTTGGTCAGGCTGGTGGCTGTTTCATATGAGAGTGAGGGGTTTGAATCAGCCTGTCCCAGGTCACCCGGTCTTCTGGGGCTGGTTCCGTCACTCTAACTGCTCTTGTCCTCCCTTCCGCGGCCTCTGGCCAGGATGAGAAGAACCAAATGATGACCACCAACGTCTGGCTGAAGCAGGTGAGGGTCCCTCCCTGGCGAAGGAGGGGCAATGCTTTTCCTCTTACATGCCTGCTTCCTCTCCTTCCTGGATCCCTGCTCAGGCTGATGTGTCTGTGTAAATGTCACACGACCATTCCTAGAGGGGGAAAGGCATCCTGCATGGGGACTTTTCAAGGTTGCAACACTGCACTGTTTTAGTGCAAATGCACAAAAGCAAAACGGCCCTTGGACGTAGGGCAGGCCTGGAGGCGGGAGGCGGGGGTTCAAGCCCCAGTGCCACCACTTACTACAGCATACCCCCCTTTTTCCTCATCCCGATTCATTGACTGTTGTGAAGATTAGAATGATCTAAGGGCCCCCAACAAAGCTGACTTTATAAATGGCATTCATTTTAATTATTAGAAGCATAATTAAGACTGGCAAAGGACAGGCTTGTGTGCCAACACCAGTCATTCTCTGTGGGGGGCAGTTGTTCCTTTTAGGTTCAGAAGGGACATGGGGAACCCTCCGAGAAATAGGACCATACAACTTTGGAGTTTTTTCATTGCTGGGATACTCCTCTATTGAGCAGCATCTACCAGGGGCCTGGTGCTAGTAATGCAGATGTCCTCGGCTCCATGGACCTTACAGAGACATTGAATCAATAAATATGCACATGCACATGTGATCACCATTTATGACAATGCCATACATAGAGGAAACTTCAGAGAGTGAACGCTAACCTGGTTTGGGGGAGAAAAGATTCACTTGGACCTGCTGATGTAAGCCCTGCTTGGACCCCTAGGGGGCGCTCTGGAGCACAGATGGAAAGTCACTAGTTGACTACCCTTTCTCAGCTGTATATTCTGGCAGGTGTTTATCTCTCTAGTCCTGTTTTGTTATCTGTTAAATGGAGAAATACTTCCACCTGTTTGGCATTCCCTGCCCAGCTCTCCTGTTTAAAACTTTGTAAATTGTTATGCATTAAAAAATGTTACTGCAAATGAGTGAGGTGCCCCCGCCCCAAGTCGTCCAGCTAGGGAGTGGCAGAATGAGGACTAGAGACGGGACCAGGGTGACTGATCGATTAAGTGTGCCCGGGACTCTGAACACTAGAGCTGGGGCAAAGGAGAGGGTTGGCCATGTTACCCAGCTCAGAGCCCTTCCTACTCCCCGGGGCGGGAAGAGGAGCTCTGTGGTGCCTGAACCCGGCTGCCAGGGTGTCCTTGGGCTGCCCTGTGTTTGTCCCAACTCCCTGGGCAGCACCAGGTGACCTGACTCCCCTCCCCGCACAGGAGTGGAATGACCACAAGCTGCGCTGGAACCCAGCCGAGTTCGGCAACATCACATCCCTCCGAGTCCCTTCAGAGATGATCTGGATCCCCGACATTGTCCTCTACAACAAGTAGGAAGCCAGTGGGGACCTGGGAAGACCCCTGGGAGGACCCTGGGAGGGGTTTCTGGGTTGGATTTGGGAAGTGTGACACCTGTGTCTCACCTTCGTTGCCCCACCCCCTCGAGTCCTGCTTTGCTACGACTGCCCCCCACCCCGCCCTTTTCTCTTGATGCCTTTACTTCTTTTCATTTGTTCTCTTATATGCCCCAATTTATTGAGCACCTACTATGTGTCGGTGCCTGTGCTAGTGGGACAGTTTTGCCAACACTATTATTTGAAAAACTTGGTTGGTGCAGGCGATGAAAACAATGTCTAACGTGGAGACCTGCAGGACGGCCGTGTTGCTAGAGCCGGCAGGCAGCATCTGGGGCAACACCCAGGAAAGGAGCAAGCTCACTGGCATGGGTATTTTTAAAAATCACATTACTTATACTTGCCTTGTATTCAAGAACAAAAAGTACCAGCCTTTAAGCATAATGCTGAGGAGCCACCAAAAGGTAGGGGAGTCTGAAGAAAGCCCCAGGGGGATGAGTGTTGGGTTATTTTTGATAAAAGAAATCGAGATCTATAATTTTATTTATGGTGTCTAATAGCAGGTAGTTCTTCATTTAGAAGTCAGGAACTTAAAAGCAAAAGATATTTGGCATTCTTTTCATCTAAAATGTTTTCTAAAGTGGGTCCCTAAGGAATTCCTGGAGCTATGAATAGTGCGGAAAATGGGCGTGTGGTCAGATAATTCTGGGTAACACTGCATGCCGATGACCGTCTCGTCCTGTGGAGGAGGTCAGGACACAGTAGCCTTTAAATGTTGTTAGACGTTGTGCAGCCAAGAAACCAATTCAGCCCAGCATTTCCCAGTTCATTTGACTCCAATTTGGAAAAGCCTCAAACAAGCTAACAACAAACAATAAAATGAAGGGAAAAGATCCACTTCTGGAGTTTTGGTGCCTCCAGCTAGGTTAGAGGGGACAACGATCCCCTCTCTTGGAACCATTTCTGTAAACACAGTCGCATGGGTCACCTGGAAGGCTTAACACCACAGGTGCCTAGTGTCCGCTGCTGCCACCAGAATCACCCACATCTAACCCCAGATCTCTGGGCCCGCCAGCGTGGGCACCCAAGATCCACCCACTTTCTGCTTCCGGTGCCTCTGGCAGAGGTCAGAGCAAAGCCCTTAGCATCAGCTATGCCCAGAGCTTTAGGGTTGCTAGGAGGCTTTTGCCAGTGTTACTTGAATGTAACGTAATTCTTACCATAGGACAAACGTCCACACCGAATTCTTCCATTTTAGAGAAGGGTCTCCTTCACCCAAACACTTCATTCCGGGTTTGCAGAAGATCCCAGAAATTGCCCTTTCCTTCCTCAAAACAGGGTGCATGTTGCCATCTAGTGGTGATTTTGTGTGATGACAAAAATGCCTTTTTTTTTTAAATGTTTTTAACTTTTGCCCTGATCTGTTACTCTCTTTCAAAGTTTCCGCGTCCAACTTTTTCTTTAAAAGGTCCCCATTCTCTAATCTCTGGCTTGGAGCTACGCCATGGGAAAGAAGTCTCTTCCTGTGTATTCTGGCTCTCCTGCCCTTAGGATTGACCTTGATCATTGGAAAGGGAGGGATGGCTTGTTAAAGACTAGGGCGTGGATCACTTCGCGTCACCTCCCAGGGGAGCTCAGGCTCCCAGGAACTCTACCTGACTAGTCACTACTATTCTAGTGTCCCCAGAACCCCCGTGGGCCCTTAGATGCCTAGCTCCATAACACGGCAGGCCCTGCTCCCCTAATCTAACACACCCTGTGAATTTCCTCCTTCCCCTCCTCTGTTCCTTGCTATGGAGGGTGCTCTGGGGGACCCTCTCCAGCTCATCTCTCTGCAAATCTTGCCGCGGTCTGTCAAGGCCTTGCTCACATGGCAGCGTTCATGGGGACCCTGCTCACTCCAGCCAGAGGGGAGTTTCCCTCCACAGCTTTTGAGGAGTGCTTAGACACCCTCAGAGCGCTGAGGGCAAGCTGCCTCCTTGAGTGGTGGTGCCTGGGGCTGCGTCTCATGTCCTCCTGGCTCCTTCAGGCAGGCTGAGTCTCACACTCTGTCCCCTCACGGCTCCCACGTAGAGCCCGGTGGATGAGGCTGGCTCAGAAAAGCACGGTAAATGGATGGTGTCAAGGAATTACCTTCTTTCACTAGCAAAGATGCCGGGTGTCTTCTCAGCGAGGTACTGAAGATCCCAGGCGGACAAGACGTGACACTCAGTGGAGGGCCTTACTCACCATTTGCTGGGGGAGAAAATATGCTCATAAATAATCACTCTACAGTATTAAATGAACACAAGCAGACAAATCAAACGACACATGCCCCATAACATATATATGTATCATACATATATGATCTATAGGACAATCAAATATATATGATATATATATATATATCATCAGAATGTTAATAGTGGCTGTTTTTGACACTCTTGGAATATTTTTATATTCTTCAAAATTTCTACTTTTGTAATTGAAAGGACAGCCCGGGTAGCTATAAATGGCAGTGTGCTGGGAGAGTCTCACACATTGGCTTAACGCCCAACAACTTGGCCAGGCCTGGCTCTGTGGTTGGGGTCCACCCGCTGCAGCCTGGTGAGGGCAGGTGGGTGTGCAGGGCCCTCCAGCTCCTCTCCTCTCCTCAGTGCAGATGGGGAGTTCGTGGTGAACCACATGACCAAGGCCCACCTCTTCTCCACTGGCACCGTGCACTGGGTGCCCCCAGCCATCTACAAGAGCTCCTGCAGCATCGACGTCACCTTCTTCCCCTTCGACCAGCAGAACTGCAAGATGAAGTTCGGCTCCTGGACGTACGACAAGGCCAAGATCGACTTGGAGCAGATGGAGCAGACCGTGGACCTGAAGGACTACTGGGAGAGTGGCGAGTGGGCCATCGTCAACGCCACGGGCACCTACAACACCAAGAAATATGACTGCTGCGCTGAGATCTACCCCGACGTCACCTACTACTTCGTCATCCGGCGCCTGCCCCTCTTCTACACCATCAACCTCATCATCCCCTGCCTGCTCATCTCCTGCCTGACCGTGCTGGTGTTCTACCTGCCCTCCGACTGCGGGGAGAAGATCACCCTGTGCATTTCCGTGCTGCTCTCGCTCACGGTCTTCCTCCTGCTCATCACCGAGATCATCCCTTCCACCTCCCTGGTCATCCCGCTCATCGGTGAATACCTGCTTTTCACCATGATCTTCGTCACCCTGTCCATTGTCATCACGGTCTTTGTTCTCAATGTCCACCACCGCTCCCCCAGCACCCACAATATGCCCCACTGGGTGCGGGTGGCCTTTCTGAGCTATGTGCCCCGGTGGCTTCTGATGAAACGGCCTCTGCCACCCTTGGGGCTCCATGGCTCCCCAGATCTGAAACTCAGCCCCTCCTGTCTCTGGCTAGAGACCAACATGGATGCACAGGAGAGGGAGGAGGAGGAGGAGGAGGAGGACAGATGGGCGTTGTCCTCCTCCATGGGTGTCCTCTACACCCATGGTGGTCTGCGCCAAAGGGCCTCAGGCCCCAAGGCGGAGGCCCCGTTGCAGAAGGGCGGGCTCCTGCTGTCACGCCACATGCAGAAGGCCCTGGAGGGCGTGCACTATATTGCTGATCACCTGCGGTCTGAGGATGCTGACTCTTCGGTGAGTTGGGGCTGAGCCCTCCCCTGGGTGACTCTGTCAGCCTCATAGGGAATCAGCTTACCCCAGGGTGTTGGGTTGGGCAACCCAGTCTCCTTCATGAGAGGACCCAGCTCCCTCGCAGTGGCCCTTGGGAGTCTGGGATAAATAATGATGGAGAACATCTAGCTGGCAACTCTTAAGACATGAATTGGCAGGCAACAGACCAGCGGTCAAGCATGTCCAGATAAGCCTAACTGGAATCAACAAGACAGGGGGAGGGATCGCTGACACCCAGCTCGGGTACCACCCTCTCAGGGCCGTTTCTCACCATTGTCCGGCTGGTGAGGGGGGAGGGCAGGGGGAGGCCGAGGGAGGACCATGGGTGGGACCAAGCACCAGGCTGCCCTGTCAGCTTTCTGCCTTCATCCCGCTGGCCTCCCCTCCTCCTCCTTGTCTGTGGGCCCCTCACTGTTGCTCACAACCCCCGAGGAAGCTTGGTCGTACCAGGCGGGCTCCGCTCCCTGGCCCTGCCATGTCTGGCACTATGAGGTGAGCTGGCCACCGCCCAGGATCACAGCAATCTTAGCGACCTAGGGAAGGGCGAAAGGCAGGGAGGTTATTACTGGGTAGCTTTGGTGAGTAGATAAGAAACGTTAAGCGTTATCTAAACTGGGAGCAGCCAGGAGTTCAGACCCACTCACCTGGGCTATGAGCCCGCATTCCATAAGGTCCCCCGCACAGTGCCTCAGCCTTCCCGGGGCGCACCTAGCCCCCCTCCATCCTGGAGTGGATGTGAACGGGCGGTGGGAGCGGTGCAGGGGCAGCAAAGTCCTTCCCATTTTGTAAGTACCGGGTGGTGTGTTTAAACCACTGCAGTCCCCTGGGTGTTCTAGAACCTTCTTGTGCCCCTCCCCCCTCTCTTACCTGGAACTTGAGAGCCCCAGGAGAGGCCCTGGGCTGTGTCAAGGGTAGGACGGTAGGACGAGGTGGGAATCAGTTAGGAAAACATCGTTTGAGTCGAGCCGGTCTTGTTCCCCAGCCACCCACCCCCACCGTAGCTTCTCAAGGTCTCGGGGCCCTTGCCCCTGTCCCTTTCTGCAGAGGCTGGGCGTGGGCGGGCCTGCCCTCCCGGCCTGGGCCTGTCACTGAGCCCACTCCCACCTGCAGGTGAAAGAAGACTGGAAGTACGTGGCCATGGTCATTGACAGGATATTCCTCTGGCTGTTTATCCTGGTCTGCTTCCTGGGGACTGTGGGACTCTTTCTTCCCCCCTTCCTGGCCGGAATGATCTGATGTCCCAGCCCGGCTGTGGCCCGAAGGTGGCGCTGCGGGCCGGCTCTGCTGCAGCCCTGGCTTGGAGGCTGAGGCGCAGGGAAAGAAAGCACTCGCTCTGCCTGGGGAAAGTCCTGATGCGGCGGCGACAGTGTGAAGCGCATGAGGTTCTCCTGAAGGAACATACGGACACTGAGTGACGGGGGCTACGGCGGTGACAGTGTGAAGCGCATGAGGTTCTCCTGAAGGAACATACGGACACTGAGTGACGGGCGAGCAGAGACAGCAGAGGGCGGGGCTGGGGCCAGGCGAAGGGGAGCAGGACACAGACCTCAAAGGAGGGGTGCAGCGGGATGAGGGGGGCGCCACAGGGGGCAGAGGGCAATAAGCAGAGTTTGGGTGCAGGAAAGAGCCTGTAGTGTCCGAACAGCCAGGCTAGGTGCGCCCCCGGGGTGCAGAGCCGTGGCCGGCGGTCGGGAAGGAGGGTTGGGTGTCTCTGAACTAGGTAGAGAAAGAAGTTCAGAGTCTGACCCGGCAGATCCGACAGTAGAGTGGAGGAGGCTTTCCAGAAGGGGAGGAAGGGGGCCAGGCCACAGGTGGAGTGGGGTTGCCGGCAGACCCACAGGCAGAGATGTGCGCAAGGCTGGGTGCTGGTGGCTGGGCTAGCACACCCACTGGAGGCTCTTGTGGGCCTGGAGACATGCCCTCACCTTTAGCCCTCCCACCACCACCTTGAAACTGGCTCAGCACCACCTGCCCCAAGAGGGTCGGCAGCGTTGAGAGTCCCTGTCTACAGGGGCACCGCCTGCCTTTCGACTCGTGTGGACAAACCACAGGCTGTGTAGATGCAAACGCCGCCGGGCCAGAGCCGCTTCCCTTCCCGCCGCCCCTCCTGCCCTTCCCAAAGCCCCGCGACGTCTGACAGGCTCCGAACTGGCCGCGAAGTCTGTTCTCGGAGCCTGGAACCCCGCAGTCCACGGCCCTGGGGCCCTCCGCTGTGGCGGGACCCTGCAGGAGTTCCGGGGGGCATCAGGCCTCACCCTGCCTCGCCCAGTCCCACTTCCCCAGGGTGGAACCCCACAGCTCAAAGATGTGGGCGCTGCGTTCTCGGACCAGTGTGGGGCCCCGGGCAGGAAGCCCAGCAGGACAAGTTTCTACTCTCCCTTCAGGTTTTGGGTTCCTCTCCTTCCGAACCCCCCACTTGCCTCTCCCTGACAGACCCAGTGGAAGCCTGAGAGGCCCCAGCCCTCGCCCCAGCCCCGGCTCCTCCGTTATCTCTCAAGATCCCCCCACCCCTCCCCCAGTGGCCCATCCTGGCTCCTGGCCCCTCCCTGTTCTGTGCACCCAGCCCCCAGCCAGTGTCCCCTCCTGGCTCGCCCAGCCTGGGTCTCCTGGTGCGGCGATGCTCCCTTATGTTAGTCCGTCTCCCTCCATTTTGCATGTAAGTAAAGAGATCAGATAAAATCCACGCTGCTGTTCATTTCGCTTTGGGACCACTTGTCAGCATCCCCAGGACCACCTGAGCCGCCCCCAGGCCCTGGGGTGGGGCTGCCAGCTGGGAGAGGGCCATTCCGCTGACACCCCTCCTGTGGCTGTGCAGGGGCTGTCCTGGGTCCCCACTGGAAAATGTCCCTTTGGTCAGGGGCAGGGGCAAAGGCCCTGAGGCTCATCTCTGACCCCACTGCCTGGGCATCACCAGTGCCTCGGAGTTAAGCCCAGGCTTCAGCCCTTGATTTATGCCCAAAGGAACACAGTGAGCCTCTTCCAGGGCTGTGCTTGAGGTCAGTGTTTTCCCCGCTCACAGCAGATCAAACACACAAAGCAATCAAACCACAAAGCAAATAATACAATTTTAATTCATCCACAAGTCAAATAGAAAGAACGTAAAGGGTGTTGAGCACGAACACCAGAGAGAAGGACGGGGGGAGCTGATGAGAAAGGGGGAGATAAGAGGAGAAGGGGGAAGAGAAGAGGAAGAGAGGAGGGGGCAAAAATAAGGAAAGAACGAGAAAAGTGGGTGGGTGTGAGGAAGGAAGCGGATTGTGGTCCAAGTCCTGTTTGGCCTCAACTCCCCTTCTCCTCGACATCGGCATGTTGACCACACAGTGTCTTGTGCCCAGTCTCCCAATAGCTTGTTGCTGGACTGTGTCCCCAGTCCCCACTCCAGGGGGCACGTGGCTGTCAGTCTGGACCATGCTCACATTAAATAAATTCCAATATACACTGTACAAGAAAGCCAGGTCCATCCCTCACCTCACCAACTGTCCACCCTGCAAAAGGGAGCCCCTCTCTGGCCCCTCTGCACGGGGGACTTCCGTAGGCAGAAGAGGAAGGAGGGACAGCTTGCTTCCCAAATGGCCTGCAATGTCCATGCATCAAGCCATCGTGGCCTCTAGGGGCCTCAGCAGGACCCCCAACAGGCCAGGCGGGTATGAGGAGGGAGTGGCCAGTGGCGGCTGCACTCCCTCTGAACCCTCTTTGTCACCCCTGCATTCTACAGCCCTCGTCCCCTCTGTCCAGCTGCAACCTGAGCAGCACTGTCTGGGGGTCGGGTGGGGGAAGGGGGTCGTGCAAAGTGGCAAGGGAAGGACTCCCCTCGGCCTCCCCCCTGAGAGGGCCCACGTGACCGAAGGCAAGGCAGGGGCCAGGGGCAAGGGAGGTACACGACAGGCGGGGGCAGAAGACGCAGGCAGAAGGCGCCCACCCTCCGTCACTCCGCAGGCGGGTGAGCCAGGTTGGCCAGGACCTTGGCCTGGTCCACGGCATCGAGCAGGTTCTTGGCGTCCACGGCCAGGGTGTGGGAGGCCGTGAGCATCTGCCGCTTGCACTCCTCGCTCAGGGAGGTCACGGCGTTCTGCTGGGCCAGCCGCATCTTGTTTATGAGCTCTGCCAGGTCCTTGTTGAGCAGTTTCTGGGTCCCTTCGATCTGTAGGAGGAGAGCACAGGAGAGGCTGGGGGCCTGAGCCACACGAGTGTCCACCTCAGCGTTGGCTGAGGCAGTCAGAAGTACTCTGGGGGGCAAGTCAGGCCCAGGCCGAGTCCGAGTCCAAGGCCATGTACGGGCTGGAGCCAAGTCACCAAGGACCACTATTGCAGACATCCCAGCCCCCAGCCCACCCCACGCCAGCCAGTCCGATCCACCTCCACGGCCCTCCTTTTATCACAACACCTGTGCGGGCCCAGCGTTCAAGTGGATGGTCGGAGGTCAAGTGCATTCATTCATGCGGTCTACCATCAGACCAAGAGCTCTGGGACTGTGGTTGGAGCTGTAGGGTTTTGTTTACCGTCATATGCCCAGTGCTCAGCACACTTCTGAGCGCATGCTCAGCACACAAGAGTGTGAAATGAATGACTGGGCCATCATGCCGAGGGTAAGATGCTCTCGCCAGGCAGGACAGCCTGGCCTGGGGCTCCTCTATGGGCCGCTGCCTCCACCCAGAGGGAGGCCGGGACTCCCTCCTCCCCCGCACGGTTCTGCCTTGAGCAGTCACAGACGGTGGGGATTCGGTGGTCACCTGTGCCATGGCACCAACCACAGGGAGATACCACATCAAACCACAACCTGGCAGGGGCTGCGGGCTTCTTCGGGGTCTACGTCTGGTTTCCAGGCAGACAACCAAGCGAAGTGCAGAGGCATTGTGTGAGTTGCCTATTGCTGCAGGGACCAAGTACCACACCCTTAAGGCAACAGGTTTATCCCCCTACAGTTCTGGAGGTTGGATGTCTGGAATGGGTCTCCCGGGGCTAAAGTCAAGGCGACACTGGGCTGTGCTCCTTCTGCAGGCTCCAGGGGAGACTCTGTCCCCTGCCTTTTCCAGCTTCTACAGGCTGCTGCCTTCCCTGGCGTCTGGGCCCTCCCAGCCCAATTTGAAATCATTTCGACCTTTGTCTCTGTCGTCACACCTCCTTCTCTGACCCCTACAAGAACTCTGCGTCTGCCTCCCACTTCTAAGGGCCCTTGTGACTACACTGGACCCAGCTGGATAATCCAGTGCAATCTCCCCGTCTCAAGACCCTTAATGTCATCCCGCCTGCAGAGACCCTTTTGCCATGTGAGGTAACCGTCACAGGTTCTGGGGATTAGGACAGGGACCTCTTTGAGGAGCCATTATCCTGCCCCCTACAGGCACCATCTCAATCTAGAGCACCAAGCCTCTTATAGTTTTCGGTGATTGTTTCTCACTTAAATAAAGAAAATTAGATTAAATGGTCACCAAAAGAAACCTTAACTTCTATTTCCACAACACAGTCACCTTCACTTTCACATGGAGGGGACTAGATCCAGGATGGCAGGAGGGGCAGAGGGGAGGTGCACCCTCCTTTGCACATCCTCACACATTAGGACTGTCTGAGGCCTAAACCAGGAAACCGCCCGAGGAAGCTGGCCGGGTGCCCAGTGCGGACCCCGCCCCCTGCGGCACCTGCTCGGATCCGCTGTGCAGGGCCACCGGTTGCAGGTTCAGCAGGCAGAAATGAGACTGCCCAGGTGACCCTGTGAGCTCCTGCGGGAAACAGCTGGGGCAGGTGAAGGGGCACTGTCTGAGGTAAGGACACTCACCTCTGTCCGTGAAGACAACGGCAAGGAAGGCAGGATATTGTCCACACTCCCGATGAGCTTCCGCAGGGTCAGGCCCACGTTCTGGGAGAGAAAGGGCAGGGTGACTGGCACCTTTTTGAGAAAGCTTTTTTCCCTCGGAGGAGCACTCCTGGTCAGTATCTGCCTTCTGAGGCTACCCGGGACTAAATGCCCTTTGACCTCCTTGGTCTATGGGGATCTTTCTGGGAAAGACACCTGCTGAGCAGACCAGGAAGCTCCGCCCCTCCCCCTCCTGCCAGGGCTGGGATGAGCAGCCTCCACCTCCCGGTCTGGGTTCTGCCCCTGGCGCTACCTTCACCACCACCACGTAGGCCTCGGGGGGCAGCTGACAGAGCTCATTCTTGAGTTCCAGCACAGACCGCACCAGCTCCATGACATTGAGGTACACCATGTCGTCAGTCCGATCCAGGTTGGCTGTAGGCTGGATAGACTGGTGGGGGTGTCTTGAGTCAGGGGGATGCCACCATTCGTTCCTGGGCAGGCACTGTAAGTGCCAACTCAGCCACCAGCCCAGTTTGAAGAGACTCTTCCCAAAACAGCAGTGCCCTGTCCCAGGGGTGCACCCCTCCCTTCTTCCAGGCAGTGGTTCTCACGTGGGAATCTGCCGGGAGCCTTAAAGGACCCTGGTGGCCAGCTGCACACCAGACCAACTGAACCATCACCTGGCATGGAGGCCAGCTGGTTTGCAAAAGCTCCTCGGGGGACTCGAATGCACAGCCAAGGCCGAGAACCACTGTTCCTGAGGGAGGAAAGCAGCGCCCATCTAGGCTACTGCAAGAGCAATGTGGGTGCTGAAAGCCTGGGGCATGCTCGAGGGAGGAAGGGGGCCCCCACCTCCTGCTCCTAAGGGAGGACCAATGAGCTTCCTTCCAGCTAGGGAGCAAGCACGGGAGACAGACTAGTCTTCACCTTGCTTTTTCATGGATTAGCTGTGTGGCTTTAGACAAGGCACTTCGCCTCTCTGGGCCTCACTACATCATGAGGATACTCGACTAGATTATTTCTGAGGGCCTCTGAAACCGTCACAGTCCACAGCCTCCAGCCTTGGGCAGCCCTGATTCTAATTCATTAGCACCTTTGGCAGAACGAACACATACCTGCGCACCCAGCCGCGGTGGCTTCTGTGGGGGACCCGTAAACTCTGCTGCAAAAGGAAGGAGAGTGAGTGGGGAGAGTCTCGGCACCCTGGCCCTTCCCTTTGTACCTGCTGGTAGTCAAGCCAATCCCCTCTCTTCTACTACCAGAGGAGCTGGAGAAATGAAACCCTAATTCCAGAAGACGGCCCTCCGGTAGTTAGGGACAAGTTGCCCTCTTAGACTTAGAGAAAGAAAAAGCCGAAGTCACAGCAGAGATGGAGCGACTGGAGAGGGTGTTCCAACCCCTGCAAGCCTGTGTCCGGCCCTGAGGAACAGCACACCCTCTGGCCTTGACAATAGCAAGAACCAGCTTCACTCCTCTGTGCGGGCAGCAGGTGGCGGCCACCCCCCCCCCCCCTCCCAGCTCATGGGGTAGATCTATGAGAATCCCCATTGGTCTCCTTTGAGCATTCGGGGAGTCAAGGAAGGGAAACAGCAGAAGAACCACGCTATTCATGCCCCACTTTGAGAAGCGAAGACACACACAGCCCTGCGGAGCTGCGGGAAGAGTCAGTCCCGGAGTGGGAGTCACCTGACCTGGTTCTGCTCTCACCTCCACCACCAAAGACCTGTGTACACAGGGCAGCTCCCCTTCACTCCCTGGCCCTTGATTTTCATCTGTCAAATAAAAAGTCCCTGGAGCCAGACTGCCTGGGCTCAAATCTGTGCTGTGCTAATTACCAGCTGTGTGATTTGGGATGAGTTACTTAACCTTCCTGTGCCTTGGTTTTGTGACCTCTGTAAAATGGGTGTAATAATAAACTGTTTTATCTCCGAGTTGCTGTGAGATTAAACTAGTTGACACCTGTAAGCAACTTGGGTCTGTGTTTGCTTGTGTTTATTTTCTGTGACTGTTGTCACCATCATAATGGTCACTGTCACCCTCACCATCAGCCCTACCCGTCTAGGATGATAAAGATGCGCCCGGTGTACTGCTGGCTCCTCCCACCCCCAACCCCTCCCACTCAGCAGAGGCCTCTGGAGAGACCCTGAGGGCCCAGCCACCCTTTCTCTCCCTTTTCATCCCTTGGGTCCAGGGAATAGGAGCATCAGCGGAGAGAGGCCAGTGGAACTACCTTATTTTCCTCCACGAGGAGCCTCGGAATGAGTGAGGGGTAGGAAGGAAGAGAATCGCCACTTCCTCCAAATAAATGCGAGAAGGAAATAAACGGGAAAAGGACTAAGACCCCGGGACAGAGACAGGGATGAGAAAAGCGCTGGGCAGGGAGGGCATGGGGCGACAGAAGGAGAAGGGTGGATATCAGCTGCGCACTCTGAGTAACAACCAGACGGACATTTCTTAAAGCTGCAAGGACACGCTACAACTCTACAGCAGGCAATGAGCCAGGACAGCAGCTCAGCACCAGATGTCAGGTGGAAACCCACCGAGAGGATGGGCACACATACTTACTGTAGCCAATCTCCTTCTCTGGGGTCTGGAAGGAAGGAAAGGGAACACGTTACTAACGTGGCTTGGGGGACAACCACTTCCCACCTTGACCTGTTCCCTGCCCCCTCAACAGTGCATTAGAGGTTTAGAGATCATAGCCATGGGGGTGGGGACTCTGGAGGCTCCTGACCAAAAGCAACCTAGAGGTGCATCCCTCCTTCCTCAGAGGCTGAAGGGACTGGGGTGTAGGTCCAATGAGAGCTCAGGAAGGGGCCTCACAGAGGTCAGAGGCGAGAGAAGAGACTCTCTATCAAGGTGAAAGGAAGCAATGTGTAGGCCAGGGGCCTGGAGCTGGGGTCCTGCTCTCTTTGAGGACTTCCCAGGCCTTCACTGTATGGCAGAGACCTCTCCCGGGGACTTACCAATGGGGACTTGTCATTCATATGAACCATGGGGTCCTGCAGAGGAGGAAACCAAGGCAAAGCCCTTAGAAATGCAGAACTAGAAGCCCCAGGAATGCATGGAGAGCATTCACTCGGGTCAGCGGGGGAGGCGGAGGACACAAAGTGACACGATGGCATGAACAGCTCTCCCGTGCAAGAACAGCGTCCCCCCACCCCCACCCATGGCGCAGCAGCTGCTCACCAAGGATTTCTCCTCCTGCCTCAGCCACTGGTAGTCTTCCACCATCTGCCTCTGCTGCTTGTCCAGGATCTGCCGCATCTTGAGCCTTTCGGCCTCCCACAGCTGCTGGGCCTCTTCCCGGCTGCTGGGTCGGATGAAGTCCTCCTCCTGGGAGGACAGCAGGGAAAGAGGAGAGGACACAGTGAGCCTGGTCCCCAGACTCAGAGGAGGGACAGTCCTTTGAAGAGTGTCGCAGCAGCCACAATACTTGGCCTCACCAGCTGGATTTTTTTTTTTTTTTTTTTTTTGGTAATGTTGTTCATAAATTCACAGCCATACATGCAGACAGTTATTATTGGGTCCGTCAGCCCCCAGCACGCGCCCCTGTTGCTATGAAATGCCAAACCCGGAACGCAGTGTGTAGCATGCACTCTATTCAAATGATGACATGATCTGCTAAGACAATTTTATTTTCGAATTAAAGCCCTAATATTGTTTTCTCAGATGGTATTTGTCATGGTTTCTGTTACTTAATAAATTTAGAAGTGCGAGGCCAGGCCTCTGGAAAGCCTTGGGCACTTCCGTCCACCTGAGCACCACTGAGGCACATCCGGGAGCTTCGAGGAGCCCCAGAGTGGGGCGGGGCCTGAGAGGAGGAGCAGCAGCATGCACCCACTGATCAAGCCTTTTTGCTCAAACATACTCTTTATCAAGATAGTCGTTTGGGTTGTTTAGCCAAAGGTTAAAGAAACGCGTGAGCTAAGGATAAAGTGAAGAACAAAATTTAAGGAAACACAGATGGATGGATATGCAAGACATGCTTCCTCTCCTGGCTTCACTAACCCAACCTTTGTTTTAACTCATTTGGGGGACTTTGGACCTATTCATAGTTTTACCTGCTATTTCCAAAAGAAGAAGGTGTTGGGTGTTTCTTATTATATGCTTTACCTTCAGTCTTCTCCAGAGTTCATTTACGTAATTATCTGCTCAGTCCCTTCAAACTATTTTGCTTTTTTTCCTGCTGCACACCTTGCACCTGGACTCCTGAGTGCTATAGGCATTTTTTGGATGACAGCAAGCCCAGGATGGCCTTTGCCAGGAACAGGACCACCCCACGACATGCAGGCCAGCAAGCCCCTCAGCTCTTTCCTTTGTTTACATACAAGTTACTTGCATAAAATGCTAAAAGTCATTCTCTATCGACTTCAGCAAGCCTTAATCGCTGCCAAATCTCTAAAAGTATTTTCCCCACTTAACTCTCTAAAAACACACTCGAATGTAACAACACAGTTATATTGCAACATTTTTCCTAGGACTCATTCAGCTCCAATTACTGCTCTCAATTTCTAATGATACATTTCTTCCCACAAGTTAGATTTCTTGGTGAAATATTCTTTGTTCGTTATTCTATTCAACAACTATTTATTAAGAAACTACTAAGTGTCAGGCATAGGAATGGGTGCTGGGAGGAAGCGATGGTACAGTTTGCAATGCCCCTGTGTTCATGGGGCTGGCTAAGCAATAGCTAGACCAGGTTTTCCAGCCTCAGCACTACTAACATTTGGGGCCAGATAGTTCTTTACTGGGGAAAGATTTCCTGTGCATTGTAGGATGCTTAGCCACAACCCTGCCCTATAGCAAGCACCTCCCCAGTTGTAATAAAAAATGCCTCCGGGTATCACAAAATGTGGTGAAATCGGTTTCAGTTGAGAGCTACTGAGTTAGAGCTTATTTTAAGAAAACAAATTTCATAACATAAGAGTATTTTATAATCATAGAATTAATAAAAATAAGTCAGATTTATTTCACAGAGGAGCATGCTCCAAAATTAGGGAGTTTTAAGGTTATAAACATTCTCAGTTAAATATCAACACCTGCAGATACAATGGTGTGGCTACCCAGACTTTCAACAAATAGTGACAAATGGGAGCCAAGTGTCAAACATTTTGAATACAGAGTTAGAAATCTCCAGGCATAAGAAAAATGTGTGGACTGAGGAAGACTGGAGTTGATGCTGGTAGGAGGAGTTACCAGAGCCAAATGAACTCTATGTAATTTGTAAGTGCTAAAAAAAGGCTCCTACCACTCAAATGTCTAGTATGCCCCAGGCCTGATCAGTATCTTACAAAATAGTTTAAGATACATTCTAAGATTTCTTCCTATGTCTTCCAATTTTATCATCAAATTCAAGAAGGAAATTAGGTTTTAAACCATCGAATCTCTTTAGGGCTTACTTGTCTGAAATGTACCTCAGTTATTGTTGGGCAATAAATTATTTCATTGTTGGTCACTCTTAAAATAGATAAGGTGTTTGTGGTGTTTTAAAATGACTCAATAAGCTGTGACCATTCCAGAATTTGGCTACCCACCCCCACCCTTGGCTTTATTACCACTCCTACATGCATTCTTCCTCATTCTAGCCAAGCTGCTCCTGCACTTGCCCTATGGTTTCCCATCACTCAATCTTGGCTCCTACTGATGCCTCTGCCTCTTTCCTCCACTTCATCCCAGTTCCTTCCTGTCCAAATCTTACCCATCCTTCAGGCCCAGCCGACAAAAAGAAGCTGGAAGGAGTTGCTCTTCTCTCTGAACTCTCACTTTTGCTGTACCTATGTGTGCCTCTCACATTTCTGGCTTGCACGACAGGTAGTTGTGCACCTGGCCTGTTTCTTCAGGCCAACTGTAAACTCACGGAAGGCAGAACCGCCTAGATCTCTCTTCAGCACCCAGGACAGCTCCCAGCAGAGCATTCCCGCAAAAGTACTCTCTTTTTTTCATTTTTATTACTATTTTATTTTTATTATTTTTTAAATATTGTTTTATTTTATCTTACTTTTTAATCTTTTCCCTTTATTGATTTTAAAGAGAGAGAGGAAGTGAGAGGGAGAGAGAGAGAAACATCAGTGAGAGAGAACATCGATTGGCTGCCTCCTGCGGCCACTGGGAAACTGGTCCACAACCTGGGCATGTGTCCTGACCAGGAATTGAACCGGTGACCTCTTGGTGCATGGGTTGACGCTCAACCACTGAGCCACACCGGCTGGACATATTTTTATTATTATTTTAAACGTCAATTGTGAGACTGCTGCCATTCTGACTCTGGTGTGGCATCCCACAGATTCCTAGATGAGTCAGGTAATAGAGCCAGTCAGTGGAAAAAAAATTTATAGGAAAACCATGTCTGATTTTTGTTAAAATGCTTTCAAATGCTTTGCAGGGAGCCTATTATACCTTTTCAGCGTTCTACCTGGAAGAGGCTTTATCCACGTTTCTCATGTAAACCATAACATGGAGTTTATATTTTTAACCTTTTGGGGTTTATTTTAAGAAATGTTCATTATATTCTTTTAGGCAGACTTTTCTTATGGAAAGAACTTCTAAAGCCCGGACACAAAAGGTCTTTTTTTGCCTGTGCACAGCCTGTCTTTATGGAATTGAACAAAGTCCTTATGGTGAAGCAGAGAGTAGACAAAGACAGTGCCGCCCCTCCCACATGCAAAATAGCTTCTTTCTGAAAGGTCACATTGTAAAGCAAAACTCACTAAAACTCAATTAATTATGAATAAAGAGTCAAGGGCAGGAGGGCGGAGGAACTGAACACTGCCTAAATTATAGTGCATGCTTCAAAATGCAGTTTTATTATGGTTAAGTATATGCTAAGATATAAATTGTTTAAATTATAAATGGGGAAATATATTCCACAATAGATCTCGATGCCTAGAATTCTAACTTATATTACTCATTTCAAAATTTTACTAAATTGAGAGTAACGGCACAGAATTCACCAACATACATACTTTCCTACATTTTCTAAATCTATTGGAATAATCATGTAGTTTTCTAAAAATTTTTAGTCATGTATACTGAACATGAAATACCATGTATCCATACAGAATTAGAGCTAAAATAATAAGGACTTTAGTCTGTTTTGTCACACAGCAAGACTCAGTTTAGTAAAATATATTACATGTTCATGGCAAACACAGAGGCTATTCGCATTGAAGGAGAAATGGGTGGTGACAAGTGACAAGTGGACAAGCAAAGGTGCTTTAATTAACTGTTGTTTACAAGCCTTGGCAATCAGATGCTAATCCAGAACCTCAGCTTGGCGGTTACAACAAAGAGGTGACTGGGGAGGGTATCTTTGCCCCACACTGGCCCCCGTGCTCCTTCCCAAACAGCAACAACTTTTACAAAAGCAGCAGGAATAGAAGCCACAGGGAAGTCTTTCCTTGGACTGAAGAGAGATTGAGCGACCAAAGCGATCAGGCAGGAAGGGCAGAGCAGAACGGAACTTCCAGGATCTGTTATTCTTTGGCACCAACAGGCTTGGTTGTCCGCTACCCACAAGACTCCTTACTGTACCCAGGGCTCAGGAAAGGGGGAGGTTTTGCATCATTCACCACAGCACCAGAGTATGGATGGGGCGGGTCCAGCTCCAGCTGGCGTCCTCGGGAGCAGACCTGGCTTGGCCCCCAGCCTTGATGTGTTTTCAAAGGCGAGAGTCACAGAGCCCCTAAGTGATCTGACTGTGCATGGAAGCGTGGAGGGCACCTCCTGAGCCTGAGGCTGTGGGGTTCCAGATGTCCCAGGTCCTCCCCACCATCAGCCTCCTCAGTCCGGCTGGGACCCAGCATGCAAAGCCCTCTTACCCGCATGCTGTGGCGCTTGAAGACATTGTGCCGGTGGAGAGGTGGGGTGTGCAGCGAGTTTACGGGAGATGGATACTCCATAGGGCTGGTGAGCGTAGGTGAGCTGGCACACAGACCCTCGGGGACCTATTCAGGAGAAGCAAAGAAGCACCAGGCACAAGGACAAGGCAAGAAGGTAGACAATTAGCTGCTACAAACTAAGCACAAACAAACGATACATGAGCACTGTGGGAGAAACAGGACTTGCTCTCCAGGAGCCAATAAAAAATGTAACATGAGCATTGCATTGGCCCTGTTGGGAAGATGTGGAGGAACAACATACACGGCTCTTGGCTAGGAGTCAGCATTGCCATGGTAGCCTCTCGTTCATCAAACAGCCCTCCCATGATGCTCTGCAAGTGATAGGTCCACACATGTTACTGACCTACTGAGTTCCCCTTCAGGACTCTTCTGAAAAGAGTTATATTTCATAGTCACGTTACAAACCGACAGATATAATTAGCACACAGATGTGTGTGCACGTTTAGTCGTTATTTTAAACATCACAAAAGGTACGTTTCTTTTTAGAGACATTGCTTCTATCCTCTGCATCAAGATTTTTCGTCAAATGAAGAGGATGTATGTTAGCTCTTGGCTGGGCTTGTTTTAGTCACTGGGCAGTGACTCTGAACTGGGGAATGTAAGAGAAGAAAAGAGACAGGCCTGGGCTCCTGTGACCGAGATGCAAGAGAGAGACACAGGACAGAGACACTCTGAGACAGGGACCTCTGGCTTGGGAAGATTTCGTGGTTGGTGATGACAACGGTGGGAGAAAAGCTCAGATGGAACCCTTCTCTCTCTTCACTGGCCACCTAGGTTCTGGCCAGGGCCTCTGTGGGGAGCCCCAGGGAGCAACCCTATTTTCTGGGGAACATCAACTGTCCCCAGTTGCCTGAGATGCCTTCTCAGAAGGCTCTGCTCAGGGCAGGAGGCCAGGGAGGCTTGGGCATGAAGAGGCAGCAGTAGGCAGACACAGGCAGCAGCAGCAAACACTTGGACAGGTGGACTGGCTTCAGACACCCCTTAGCTGAGGACAGCCTGGCGGAACTGCATTTTGATTCTTTTGATCTCTGGGTACTCTGCGTTCAAATTCTTTTCTGGGTACCAAAGGCCATCTCCAGTACCTAAGCAGTTGCTTGTGGCTCCTCAAAGGCGTGAGAATGGAATTCCAGGAAGGACCAAGATGAGAAATGGCCCTGAACTTGCCCAGCACTCTGGTTCTGTTTACCTGGAACTGCAGCTTGGGAGCCAGAAGGTTGGTTTGCGGAGGGGGTCTGAACTTGGGTCGGCTGGGCTGGAGAGAGAACACAGAGATAAGTCAGTCCTCGTCTCTCCCTGAGCGAGCAAGCTCACTAAGGGGAGTATCAGGTCAGAGACAGGTCAGGCTTATTCATAATGAAAAAGGTGAAGGATGGGGTTCTCACTGACTTCCCTTATTGAGCACCCATTACATGCTGAGTGATGGGAAGGTACAAAGAGACCAGCCTCTCTGCCCTCCTGGGGGCCATCACTGATTGGCGGGGTTACTGCAGCTTCTTTGGATGTAGGAGCACCTCCAAACAGCAGCTGAGAGCCACAGGCATCAGAGATGGGAGGTCACGAAGGGCACTTACATCAGCTTCACAGAGGAGATGAAAACTGAGCTGGGCCGTGACTCAGGGAAGGGAGAGGCACACCAGGCAAGGTGGACACTGGCCAGACAGGGCTTTCTTACGGACGGAACGTGTGTGTCCCCACCAAACCCACATGTTGAAGCCCTACCCTCCGGGTGTGATGGTATTTGAAGGCCGGCCTTTGGGAGGTAAGGTCATGTGGGTAGGACCTCTGTGATAGGATTCGTGTCCTTATAATACTAGGAAGAGATACCAGAGTGCTCACTCTCTCACCCTGTGAGGACACCGCGAGAAGGTAGCTGTCTGCAAGCCAGGAAGAGTTCTCACTAGACCCTGGTCTGCCGGCACCTTGATCTCGGACTTCCCAGCCTCCACAAATGCCTGTTGTTTAAGCCGCCCGGTCTGTGGCATTTTGTTATGGCAGCCGGAGCTGAGTGACACAGGCACTGTCCTTAGCCCACCCACCTAACGGCGTGGCGGCGGGGCACTGGCTCCTGCAGCCAGAGGCGTCCTGGTGGGTATGGCACGAAGGCTGGACCTAGGGAGCCCCGGGACACTCCTCATCCCTGTGCCCTCATGGGGATCTAATTTGGTCCTAAAAAAACACCAGAAAGAAGGGTGCTCGAGCCTCTCAAGGGAAGTGTTTCTAGGGTGCCTGCTGCCCCAGCTGCCCCCCAGGCCTGTGCTGTCTCGCTGTCTCGGATTCCACCTGCCAGGCACCGATGGGGCAGGGGCTGAGCTCAGTACTGATGGACGGTTGGATCGAGGGGCTGAGAGAATTGTAGGGGTGCACCCTCTCTGTACTGTGAGGGAGGAGTTGTATAGTCAGGCCAAGAGTGGGCTAGATGAGGACCTGGCTCTGCTATGATTCAGGGGACTGAGGAGACTGGGCTTGGCTCACCTTGGGTGGGGGGTCCTGGAAGGCTATGGGCTCCAAGATTTTGGGAGGGCGGTAGCGAGCGTTCCTCTCCTGCTCTACAGCGATGTCCTTCTCCATCTGATAAACGTCACTGCCAAGGGGTCAGGTCAAACAGGAGAGAGAAACAAGGTTGGAAGTGCTCCTGGGGGGCTCCTCTTTGACTCCCCTGAAGGCTGGAGAGGCCTGGAGCATGGCCACCAGGTCCCACTTTCATCTCCTCTGCAGAGTGGGCTGGGGACACACCTCTGAGACAGGCTGGGATATGGACCCTGAGGTCACTTCCACAACAAGGTTGGGAGAATTACAGGAACAGATCCACAGGGGGAAAAGTCCTTGGAGAGACGGTCCCAGCCCCACAAAGTGGTGGAAGCGTGTCTCCAGCCCACCCCCCGTGCCTCTCGCCCTCCTGTGCCTGCTATTGGCACTGATCCCCCATGTGGCTTTCTGATGTCCCAGCCATGTCAGGGCCAAGGCCTGGGTTCTACATCTCCCATTTTTTATTAAACAGCCCGTCAGCGCATTCCTGGTGTGTGCCGAGGGACAGGGCTGTGCATCACTCCCACGCTGGCCCTGTGCGTGCCTCCCGCCTTCCTCCCCCGCCCAGTGGTTCCAACCTGGGACTCACAGACCCTGGAGGACTCCGGAATAACTGCAGGGGTCCACGAATCCACACGCCCACGTGTGTACCATGTGCTGTCTGTTACCACGTATCATGTATGGTTGAAATAGATTTCTTTGCCCAAGATGGAGTCGTTCTGGGGTGCCACACCAGCAAACCAAAACTGAGATAGCTTTTGTGTCCCCCCAAATGTTCGACTTGACCAGAAATGCAGTATATCTAGTCGACCAATCCCCAAGCAGCTCTCAGCTCTGTACTTACTTTCTTGTTCCTTATTCATCCTCTTCCTGGCTCCTTGTTCCTTATCCTATTAAAGCTCCCTGTTTTCTGCTCATTTTACACTTCTCTGACCCTTGGGAACAGAGACTGCCTGCTTTGTGGAGTGCTGAATGAGCTTTGTATCACCTAAATTGCCTTCTTTAATCATTTTTAACAGTGCTACTATATATAATAGTTGATATTGCGTTTTCAGATTTATGTGCATTACATTGAGTGTAATAAAAAATTCATCATGCAACTTAGCACATTTTGTCAATCAACAGATTCTAAAAGTGTAACATCACCCATGGTAGAATTCTTAAACGTTGATGTTAAAGGGGCCCTTCTTTTCCCAGAAGATGGGGAAACACTTATTAGATCCCTTTGAACTCTAGTGGACAACTGCCAGCTGTGGTCTGGGGGAGGTGTGCTGGGGTCGTGCACCAGGAAGGTCAGCTCCTCACTCCCTCCGTGACGGGGGCGGGCCCAGTGCCTCTGACGAGTATGCTGCTCAGCCCAGGCTGAGGCGCCCTGTCACCGCGCCCCACGGTGCTCCAGCCCCAGAAGGAAGGAACAGCCCCCCCACCACCTCATCACCCCAGAGCTTTTGCTCTCTCGAGTTACGTCTTTTAAATACTTTTCTCCTGGAATCCTTTGGTCTCCCAGATCTCCCATATGAGGGACTGACAAAGGATCTAGAATCGATGGGGAGTGTCAGTGAAGGGACAGACCCCCTTTAAGCTGGGAGCGTTGCACACAGCACTGCCACCCAGCGTCCCTCCAGGGTGCCTCCTACGGGTGGTTTCCAGCGGCTATTTCTTGCCCTAAAATATGCCAACATGTTGACGACAGGGCCTGAAGTTGTCCCATGCAACATTAACTAAGCCCCAGATTCCCTAAGTGGGGTCAGCAAACGCCACCTCACAGGCCAAGTCTGGCCACCACCTATGTTTGTATGGCCCCAAACTAAGAATGGTTTTTAAGTGTTCTAATGATTGAAAAAAAGAAAAAAAAATATTTCAGGACACCTGAAAATTACATGAAATTCACATTTCAGTGTCCACAAGCTAAGCCATAAGGAAACCCAGCCACACCCACTCTTTGCATATTGCCCACAGCTCTGAGCTGCAAGGGCGGAGCTGAGTAGTTTCAGCAGAGACGGTCTGGCCTACAAAGCCCGAAATGTTTTCCATCTGGCCCTTTACAGGACCAGTCTGCCTTAAAAGACACTAAAAGAAGTCAGGAGGATGTCAGGCGGGCTATCAAGGAAACGGGGACCCTCTAAAATGTACTCCAATAGCACCCTTCACCAGGGACCTCCCAGTACCCAGGGAATGATGGCTCTTGAGCACCTGAGAAGGACCAGACCCTCAGGCCACTGGTGATGCTCCATTCAGAAGGAAGAGGTGACCCTGGGTCACTGTCTTCATAGTCAAAACTGACCCTCTTCCCTGTGATCTGGGAGGAACAACAAAGGTTTCGTGCTCCTGCTGGGAGGATCGCTAATTCCTCCTGGACACGAGGCTCAGTGTGGGTCAGAGGGGAGGCCCCGGTGCAATCCCAGCCCCGCCTGCCGCTGCCTTGGGTGAGTCCCCAGGTACTGTCCGATTCTGCCATCTGCAGGGTGGGAACTCGGGAAGTGTGCGGTTAGCCTCTCAGTGCTGCTGCAGAGCAGCCCTCCAGGCCCTGTGCCTACAGCCCCCGCCCTGCTCCGTGCTCACCTGAGGCTGCACACAAGCTCGCTGAAGCGGGGCCGCTCACTGGGGTCGTAGTCCCAGCATCGGGTCATGAGGGTGTAGAGAACCGGTGGGCAGAGGTCGGGCTTGGGCAGCCGGTCGCCCTTCTCGAGCACCCCGATGACATCCTTGTTCTCCAGCCAGAAGAAGGGCTGCTTCCCAAAGCTCAGGATCTCCCACATGCACACGGCTGTGAGCAGGAGAGGGTTAGGACCTGGGCTGGGCAGGGGTGGGGCTCCTCCCCAGAGGGGCCGGTCAGCCCTCTCTGGGAACAACCACGGTAACCTGCTCTCGGTCCCTGCCGGACGAGCCCCCATGTTCCCTCGCCTCCCCTTGAACATCCTGGGAGTTTTATGCACCGTGGTGGTCGTCGAGGGACCACTCAGCTGCACCTGAAGTGAACTGAGGTCCCCCCTCTAAGTCCCCTCCACGTGCAGCCAGCCAGTAGGGTTTTGTGGGGTGGGGTGGGCACGCAAAGGTACGTCCCTGGACCACTGGTGCCTTCTCTTAGGAAGGAGTGAGGCCTCCAGCACGAAGCTGGGGTCTGAAGCCAGTACTTGCTGCCTGTGTGATCAAGGGGAAACCCTGACCGGCCTGAGCCTCTGCTTCCTTCTCAGGAAACTGGGAACATAATAACGAGCTTCTACTGGTCGGCTGTGAGCACGGAGCGAGGAAATCTACGAGGCGTGCGCTCTGCCAGGGGCTGTCTGTCTGTCACTGAGTTTCGTCCTCACCCCTCCCTGCACCTCCTTTCTGAGAACAAACCTCAGAGTCTGCCTGTGAGGATCCCCTTCGTGGTGTCCCCACACTGGCCCCTGGGGCTGGCTGGCGGAGCACATGCCTTTTCCAGGAAGATGAGCCAACACTGCCCAGGCCGGCCTCGGCCCACGTCACCCCGCCCATCCCTGGCCTCTCACTTCTAGCCTGGTCATGGAGGTGAGAATCGAAACCCTTACCCACACCCTCCCAAAACTCAGCTCACCAAACATCCAGACGTCGCTGGCCGTGGTGAAGCGGCGGAAGTTAATGGACTCAGGTGACATCCACTTGATGGGCAGACGAGTCACAGAGGCTTTGGGTGGGCGTAGAGGTTCCCAGGAGGTATTTAGGGAAGAAAGATCCAGAGTTAGCCCAAAACATAGCCTATTCTCTGGAGACCCGAGGGCCGGCAGACCCTTGACGACAGCCTTTCTTCCTGGGACTCTGGCTTCAGCGACGCCTCCAGGGGCAACGCGGAGGCTGGAAGGTGCCCCTCACCTTTGTAATAGTCCTCGTCCTCAATGTAGCGGGAGAGGCCGAAGTCCCCCAGCTTCACACACTCCGCGGAGGCCACCAGGATGTTTCGGACGGCGATGTCCCTGGAAGACGGATATGAAGGCTAGGGTTAGGCGGCTGAGAAGGCTTCAGAGAGACAAACAGACGGGCAGGGACCTGGCCTCCGGGGCAGAGGCAGAGGCAGCCTCTCTCCAGCAGCCCTTCCCTGACCCACCGAGTCATCGTACAGGGGGGCACCCGGGGGGCCCTCTGACCCCCCTCCTCTCATCTCAGCATCCGGCTTTAACTCCCAGCACCTGTCTCCGGGTCTCCAGCATGAAGCCTGTTTCGGGTTCCCAGGACTTGCTCCCTACACTCTCCTGCCCTGTTGCCTCTATTGTCCCCTCCGCCAGGGATGCTGGCACCCAGCTGATTCTCCGAGAAAGAACCCTGACAACTCTCCCGGTCACGATTATGCTCTCGTTCTGCAGCCACGTAGGACTGGGTAGGCTTTTGTTGTGGCTCAGAGCAGCAGCACTCGGAGCGAACTTGCAGAGCACCAGGACCAGCCCGGCGCTTGACACACCGAGTGGCGATAGGAGACCCTCGGCCCGCTGGGCACAGAGGCGGAGCTGGGCACAGAGCATGTTACTGGCAGGAAAGGAGGCAGCCTAACTCCGGAGCTGGGCTCACACCGCCCTGCATCACTTCTCAGTCTGTCTGCTTGCTTCCGACAGGCAGGCTCCCTCCGTCATTTGTCTTTCTACTGAACAGACATCACACAAATGACACAAATCTGCTATCCCACCATCTTCACCCATGACTATTTCTGTCTTGCATTTTACCCTCACGCTGGAAGGTAAGCTCCACAAGAAAGGGATTTTTGTCTGTTTTGGTTCTGACTTTATCCCAGAGCCCAGGACAGCACCTGGAGGCACAGGGTGCGAATTCTACAATATTTGTTGAATGGATGAATGAATGAATGGATGGATGGATGTTTATATCCCCCAACATTGCTTCGCAGTCTGTCACTCACAAGGCCACACAGCTGCCGTCAGTGGTGCTGGAATGGAGAGTTCCCCCCACACCTTAGTGCTCCGAGAGCACCCCTTCTCTCTCCTCTAGGGGATCACGTCCCCTGTGGTAGGGACCTGCTTTCAGGGAGTGGGAACAAAGCCAGGAGGAGAAAGGGCTGGCTCTGCAGACAGAGAGAGGACTTGGCAGCCCAGGGGTGCTGGGCGGTGCCAGCCACTCTGGCTGGAAGGGCCCGAGCCCAGGACTGTCCCAGAGCTGCCCTAGCTCGGTCTTCCTGCCTGGGCTCTGTGCCACAGGCTCAGAGTGACAAGAGCAGGCGGGAAGCGACTTCCCAGAATCCACAGGGACGCAGGCTAGAATGCATGAGTTACAATCACACACCTGGGGCTTTAGATTTTCCCTTAGTAACAGTCCTGGAAATTTCTATTTCCACTTATCAGATGAGGAAACAGGCTCGCAGAAGACGCTCAAGTTGTCCTATTAGACAGGACCACAGCTGGGGTTTCGACACTGGTCGGGGTGACACCGAGGCCCGGCTTCGCCCCAAGCCCAGGATCAGAGCGAGCGCCCAGCTTGCACCCCAGCCGCACCTGTGCACACAGTTGATGCTCTCCAGGTAGGCCATGGCCTTCCCGATCTGCAGCGAGTACAGCACGAGGGTGAGCACCTTCAGGGAGTTCTTGTTTCGCTCCAGGTAGTGGCCCAGCTGCCGGAAGGGGGAAGGTGCCATCAAGACCTGGGCCTGGCCTCAGCGTGAGCCGGGAGCCAGGCCCAGGGGGGAGCGGGGGGAGGGGGGGAAACCCAGGCTGGCAAGAAGTTGCAGCCATTCCCTCTACTGATGGTCTCTGGGTTGATTCAGCTGCATACGGAAGGCAGGAAGCTAGGAGTTGAGGGTCTCTCCTGCACACACCCCCGCTCAGCTGTGACCCAGCCCTTGTGCGGTTCCTCTGCCACCACCTGCAGCTCACCTCCCCGTGGGAATACAATTCCATTATGATCCAGGTGGGCTCCTCTTCGATGATGCCTATCAGCTTCACAATATGCGGGTGGTCCAGATTCTTCATGATCACTGAAATAGGGGGTGAGAGGGATGGGCCGCAGCGGCTCTAAGGTCCAATGTGAGAAAAGGGCTTTGCTGTCTCAACTGGGGGGGGAGGGGAGAGACACCCCTCCTCCTGTGTGGGTCCCAGCACTGCTCACACCACCCCCTTCCCAGATCCCAGGCCCCTCTCTCATCTTGGAAGTCTGTGTCCCTGCTCAGGGCGTGCCTACCTGCCTCACTCATGAACTTCTCCTTGTTGTCCAGGGTGCAGTCTTTCTTGCAGGTCTTCACAGCTACATTGATTTTCTCCCCTTTCTGCAAGGTGAGTGAGTTCAGGGCCCCCTGGTCCAGCCCAGTGCCCAAAAGAAAGTGTCCCTTCCCCGTGTCACCACCATCTCCCCGGCCCAGGGAGGGCAGGTGGCCTCTGGCTCTGGGTCTCTGCACAGCACCTTCTTCCCCCTTCTTCCTTTCCTTGCCTCTCCTCCTCTCTTCCCTGCCTTCCTCCCCTCCCTCCTCTCTTTCTCCTTGATCGGGGTGTGCTAGGACCGGCAAGGACTTTCGAGGTCAGGTAACGCGAGTCCCCGGCTGTGCAGGTGAGAAAACAGGGGCTGAGGGGCCAGGGGGTCTTCAGAGGGTAGCGGACGTGTGTGGAGCCTGTGCGAGGCATCAGCAGACGCGGCTCCCAGGCCTCTTTCTCTCTTTATTGTTAGTTTTCACATTGTCCTGCCCCTTTCCTTCAGCTCGGCCTTCCCCCGAGGCCTGATGGACGCACAGCCTCCTTGCCCTGCCTCACACTAAGCCTGCCCCCGACCCGCCGTCCTTTGCCCAGAACTGTGTGTGATCATGCCTCCTGCCTGTCCTCCCACCAGGAGTCTGTCGCCCCTCTCCTGGTGCTGCCTCTGTTTTGATCCCGGACATCACTCTACTTCTTGTTCCCATCGCTCCCTGGGTGTTTCATAAACACTGCAGGTGCCAAGTGCCTGAGGACCCACAGCGCATGGCCGCCTCCAGCCCTGGGAGGTTCCCGCCCCTCCCTCATCCCACAGAAAGTGCAAGGGAGTGTCAGGACAGCCCTGGAACTCACGTGATTTGTGTAAACACCTTCGTAGACCTCCCCAAAAAAGCCTTCCCCAAGAATACGGTTCAGAACCACATCTTCCCGGGCGATGCCATACTGTGGGCCTGGGCACACGGAGAAAGCAGAGTCGCAGAGTTCAGAAACCGGCCGACACCCCGGGAATCTGAGTGTCCACAGGCTCTGCTCCCCTTCCGCTCAGGCATCACCCGACCCCGGCAACATCTCGGCCAAGAACCAGGGGCCCCGGGCAAAGGGGCTCTGGCATGTTCTGCTGTCTCAGACCCGGGGGACAGCCATCTCTCTGTTCCCTCTGAAAGCTGGTCCCATTCCACACTCTTAGGGTCCCCCCAACCACGGCTACATGAAGGGCAATGGTGTGAGGATAAAAGAATGGTCTCAGCTTTCACATCAAAGTTGCCTTGCTCAGTTTGTCCCTGTCTGAACCACACATGGGAGAAGAGGAAGGAGGGAGGGAAGGAAGGAAGGAAGGAAGGAAGGAAGGAAGGGAGGGAGGGAGGGAGGGAGGGAGGGAGGGAGGGAGGGAGGGAGGGAGGGAAGTCCCCTGTAGTTTCACATGTGCCCCACAATATCACTCCACAGGGCCCTGGGTGTTGTCAACATGGTGGGGTCAATAATCTACCTCCTAGCCTTTGCAGAGTGTCATCCGGAATCTCGGCGTAGATGTCTGATTCTGCAACGACAGGAAAAGGACATCTCATGGGCAAGATGCCCTCGGAGGGCCCCACCAGGAACCAGGTGTGTGGCTCTCCTGTCAGGCCAGTGGAACCAAGGGTGCCGTCCCTGGAAGGCGGGACCCGGGCTGGGGCTCCGATGCGGGTTTTAGAGTGGCCACAGAGCCCCGGGTGCCTCGCTAGAGTTCCTGCTTGCTACTGCCCAGCTGCATTCTTTCGGACAAGTTGGTTAGTCTCCCTTAATCCCAGTTTCCCTTTCTGTAAAATGGACGTCCTAAAGATCAAATAAAATAATACCTGTTATGTATTTAACACTGTTATGGATTGAACGTTTGTGACGCCTCCTCCCCCAAACTCTTATGTGGAAGCCCTGATCCCCAGTGCGATGGTATTTGGAAGTGGGGCCTTTGGGGGTGATTAGGTTTAGTTGAGGTCATGAGGGTGGAGCCCCCGTGATGGGAATAGTGCCCTTATAAGAAGAGGAAGAGAACAAAGAGGACACAGAGAGAAGGTGGCTGTCTGCAAACCAGGAAGGAGTGCTCACTGGGACCTGACCCTGCACCTTGGTCTTAGACTCCCAGCCTCCGGAACTGTGAGAAACACCTGTCTGTGGATTAAGCCACCCAGTCTACGTTGTTTTGTTATGGCAGCCTAAGCTGACAAAGACAGACACAGTGCCACATACTAACTATTCAAAACAAGTTAGCTGTTATGATTGATGATATTTTAAGTCATCACTGCGACCTCATAGGGAAAGTTTGTTTCTCTGTAATTTTGAGGGACTCCTTGACTATGGCACAAGCGCAGGCGGACGTGGGGCTCTGGGCGCGGGCCACGGACAGCACACAGGCAGGCTTACCTATGCTGCAGCTTTCTGAGAACTGGGACCGCCGGGCCTCCAGGTTTCTGTAGGAGGAGAAGGGAGGGCAGGGGCCAAGTCAGCTCAGAGCCTGGCAATGCTCCCCAGGGGCGGTCTTGACTCCCCCTCTCCCACCATCCCACCTGGAAGACCAGCTGCACTGTGCCCACTGCCTGCCTGCAGAACCAGCCTGCCTGGATGGCAATGACCTGGGAGCATGGCCTAGGCTGCCAGGGGGCAGGAGGGAAGGGACAACAGCAATATCCTCTAGGATTAGATGGCAGGTGGCATTAGAACATAGGACTATTCCTGCAAGAAGTTATTGGGAGAAATTTACTAGCAAAAAATTGCCACTTATGAAATGCTGGGGTTCTGGTCTTCTTCCCTGGGGCCCAGAAACCATGGGGCTGGAGGCTCCCTGTTTGTTCTGCCTTCTTCAGGGAAGACAAGCTGAGTGGAGGGCCTGTTCCCGGCCGTCTGGTTGTACTCACAGCACAGGGATCTGGGGCAGGCTGTTCCGTTTCTCACCATCTGGGAAGAGGGGAGGAAGAAAAGGAGCTGGAGCCAGGGACACAGGGCCCTGGGTGGACGGCTGACCTCACTGCTCCTATGAGCCACCACAAGGGGACCCTTCCCTGCCATTCTGTACTCTCTGACAGCCTGAGTGGAAGCTGGGTAGCCTTTGTCCTGAATTGGAATCCTCTTTGTAGGAGAAATCTTTCTACCACCATCTACAAGCCCCAGCCCAGACCCCTGCTTCCTGATCCCATTCCAGAGCAGAGGCACAGCCACGCAAGAGGCACCTGCCAGGTTCCAGCAATAGCGGGGAGCTTCCCGAGACCACCAACGCCTTTCCTCCAGAAGCTGGCCTCCAGGTCACCGCTGACCCGTGGGGCCAGGGCCTGTAGCTTGGGACCACAGGGAACGTCCTGCGTGGCTGGGTGAGCATTTCCACTCGCAATCATTTACATATTGGTCAATGGCTTAGCTTCCTCCGCTGGGGGGAAGGGGCGTGGGGAGGTGGCTTGCTTCAGCTGTGCTGCCATCTATCTGTCCAGTGGGCCAGTTTGCCTGTGAGTGGAAACGCACCTTTCCTGGAATTAATGATGAGAGAGGCTTTGTGCTCCCCCTGCAGCCGGCAGTAACCGTCTATGAGGTCAGCCATGTTCTCAGCTTCTGCCAGAGAGGAGGTTTTGATGGACAAGGACTGCAGAGAAGAGACCAGCCAAGCATGAGACCCCCAGAGCCTTGGCTGGAGTCTACCTCACAGGCAAGGAGAAGAAACTGCATATTCCTGCTATCCAACCCCCCACCGGAATCCCTCTCTCCTCTCCTGGGCTTGGGTTGCATTCTGAATAGCCACCAGGGGGCGCTCTTGTCATCTCGCCCAACTGATTGCCTTAAATTCTAGGTAGGCCAGTTCCAGGTCTGACTTATTTTGGTCTCACAATGCCTTGCACCTAGTAGGTACAAAATATGCAAGAGCAGAAACCGAAAAGGGAAGAGAAAGAGAGTGGGGCAGGGGTTAGCTGAATGAGAGGAGGGATAGAATTCTTTTTGAGAGGTTTCTCTGATCCTTCCACCCACAAAAACCCTGGGTCCTTGAGGTCTTGATTCTAAGTCATTGTTCACTTGTTCGAAGTTAGGCCTCTGATTAGTACCTTGATTTCTAGTCACCTTTACCCTCCCCCCTACACCCCCCAACTTTCTTGACACTTTTTAAAATAGCTTTGCTCTCTGAGATATCTTCCCTGTAATGTATCATCATCCTGGTACCTTGTCTAAGAACTAGTTGCAGTTGTCTTAACAAGATCTCAGAAGACAGAGAATCCCTGGCTTTCTGACCACCTGCACAAGAACACTCAACTGGCTGTTGTGCCCCCTTGTTTCAGAGCTTCTGGGTTCCCCGAGATGCTCACCTGGGGGGCGCCTTCGATGTCCAGCTGCAACACTGCCTGGCCCTCCTCCAGCAGGAGGCACCTGATGGACTTGATCTGCTTGAACTCAGCCAGGCAGGTGGGCTGTGGGAAAGGATGGGGGTGGGGGGCTTCAGACTATCTCACTCCTGGGATTGGGCCATAGAAATTGGTCAGTATGCAGGGCACAAGGAAAACGTGGGATCTGGGAGTCTCTCAGGGGGATGAAGAGGGAATCAAATACTATTAAGACTGGAAGGATCATTTGGTTAAGTCCCTGTCTTTGCAGAGGAGAACATGAGACTGGAGAGAGCCAGGACTTGCCCAAGGTCATATGCCAAGTTGGTGGTAGAGCCAGGACTGGACCCAGGTCTTCTGACTCCCAGGGGAGTGATGGCCCCATTTTGCCATTGAGAGAGCAACTCTTGTATCTGAGCCAGAAAAGCAGTAATAATGTCCTTCCCTCTGCTCTGCACCTCCAAACCATCCCTGCCCCCCAACCTCTGTTACAGGTAAAAAAAATAGAACCATTGGTCCCATGATATTATGCCAAACACTCTCCTTACAGATGCTCAGACCAAGGGTCTCTCTGCTCTCAGCAGTGGGGCAGGAAGAATGGATGGGGCAGGCCAGGGTAGGGGAAGCAGAGAAGGAAGACAGCTCAGCCTGGGGTGGAGTGGGGGGAGGTGCTCCCAGTCCCTCTCTACCTTTGTATCTTGACTTGTCAGCTGGCGGATGCCTTTAGGGCCGATGACCAGGTCCACAGTGATGTTCCATCCTTGCTGGAATACAAGGAGGGAGGGAATAATAGCCCAAGCCTTGCCCTGCTCATATTTCAGAAATTTGAAAAAGGCCCTCTAGACTAAGCACAGGCTACTCTCTCCTGGGCCCTCCAGCTCCTTCCACTCTAAGCTCTGGCCATACAGATCATCCTTCTCTCCACACCCTGCCCACCTCCCAGAGTTGGAGCCAAGATCTTAGTTTCTTTCCTGAGGCAAGTCGATTAACGTGAGTTGCATTCTGCAGCAGGTCAGCACAAGCATATAAATCCCCTTCCCGGCCCTCCTTAATGGTGTCTGGGTTCCCTTTCTCAAGAGGCCTGGAATTCAGGCGGAGGGGAGAATTACAATGAGTTCACAGCGATAGGTCTCCTGGTCGATGTTGGCAAAGCCGGCAAGGGTGTTGAAGAACTTCATGACGCACTCCTCCTCCCTGAGCGAGGCGTACTGCTGGAAGGTCTGCTGGATCATCTTCCGGAACTGCTTGGGCTGGGGGGAGATGGGCAGGGGTGAGCAGGCTCCTCCCTCAGGATCACTGAGAGCCTGCCTGCTTCCGTAGGACGGTCCCCAGGCCTCTGCGGGGAGAGCGGTGGCCGTCTCTTACCTAGAGCACATGCCGGCTGTCTCAAGGGGGCCAGGGGGGGCTGTGTCCCCAGTGCTCAGGCCACACAGCTCATGGGCTTCTGATGTGGAATTAGAGCCAGGTTTCTGATCCCCAGCCGAGGAAAGAGCACTGGATGCATTCCATGGTCCTATGTCCAGATGGCCCACCGTGCACAGGCACCCTGGCTGTATCCCCAAGTATCCCCAGCCCCATCCCTTTAGCTCTGGTCCTGGGGCCCATCACAAAGGAGGTCTTTCTGGGCCCCTTGCCCACTTACCTTTAAGTTCTCCTGCATCTGCTTTGGGAAAAACAAGTCGAGCCCTACTTCCTTCCTAAAAGAAGAAGAAAAACACCATTTGACTCCCCCTCTCCCCCAACCCAGGGCTTGTGGCCAATCGGGGAGAAGTGAGAGGGCTGGAGGGCTGGGGATGAGCGGAGCAGGGGAAGTAGAAGAATCAGGGCAGCAAGAGGGAGGAGAGGCAGGAACCACTCTCAGGACTTACTCCAGGAGCTCGAAGTTGGACTTTTTGTCAAGTGCGTTGTGGGGCATGTCCTTGAAGAACCGCCTGGAGAGAGAGGAGCCATGGTGACGCTGATGGCTGGAGACTAAAACCATCAGAGCCCAACGCCCACATGTTGGCCCAGAAGCCCTCTTCCCCTGCCACATGTGGAAACCACCGGGAGGGAAAAAATTAGAGGCAAAAAATTTGGTACTTAGAAAACGAAGAAAAGGAAAACCTCCAAGCCTCAGTCCTTCCTAGAAAAGACTCCAGCTCTGTGCTCTGGGAGGCCCATCTCTGGGACTGCACAGCTGTTGGGCAGAGGAGGGACATAGCGGTTCTAGCTGTGGCCTCAAAAACAAAGGACCCGAGGCAGCCAACACTCAGGCTATCAGCTTAGGAACATCCACCTTCACCTTCAGGGTCTAGGTTTCCTTTGTGATTCCTCTTTTCCTCTTTGCTATCCCTGAAACATTCTATGTGTGTGTGTGTGTTGGTGTGTTCATCTAATGATGATTAAATGCAGTACATACAAAAACTTTAGAACTTGTGGAACAGGAGAAGAAAAATAGAAATGATCTGTAATCTTATGATCAGGGGTGGCATTTATTAATTTTGTAATATACATTCTTTAAGTCCCATTAAATGTACACCTTGATGGAGATTTTAATGTATCACTTATTTATAACAATTGCTGTTTAGAGACCAAATAGCCAATGTCCTCACTGTGTCTCCTCCATTCTCTGCCTGGACCACCATGTCTAGTCATTTCTTCCATTGTTGCAGACATTGTCACACTTTTAATCTTACATTAGAGTGACTCAGTGTTCCTGTAACCCAACTGTCTTTATACACATCTGAGGACAGTTTGTGCTGATACTATAAGCAGAGAGAGAGGCAAGTGACTTGAAATCCAAAAGATATGAATTCAAAAGACAATTCACTATGACTAGAAAATAGTTAGACCCCCATCTCACACTTTATTTTGAACATTTATTCTAGATGGATTAAAGGGATAAATGTAACAATAAAATCATTTTTAAACTACAACAAAGTCTAGGAAAATATTCCCAAATCACAGAATTGGGAAGAACATCTAAAGCATGAAATCACAGAAGAAATCTTCGGTTAAAACATATACTATTCTCAATATTCATTTTACCAAAAAAAAAAAAAGGAGAGAGAGAGAAGTCAATTTTATACATCTCTTTTTTTTTTTTTTTTTCCTGTTGCAATTTTGGTAAATGCCAATGATACAGCCTTAAAGCACAATTCAGTAAGTGTGACTGTTGGAGGGCCTCTCTTTAGTGGTGCAAACACAAGACCTTCCAATGGTCTAATCGAGTGGTTCTCAATCAGAGGCAGTTTTGCACCTCCCTCCCCAGCCTGGAAACATTTGGCAATGTCCAGAGATCTTTCTGATTGTCACACCTGGTTGGGAGGAGAGGTGGTCCTACCAGCATCTGGACTATAGAGGCCAGGGATGCTGCTAAGTGTCCTACAATGCACAGGATGGTCCTTCTGACAAAGAATTATACAGCTCAAAATGTCCCTATGGCTGAGGTTGAGAAACCCTGGCAGCTTGACCCAAGGAGAGAACTTAGGGGTCTAGGAAGCATGGCTCTTCCCCAACCCTCTCTCTGCCAGGTATCCAACAGAGAAAGACAGCAGATGCTAATGGAGTATTGGGGCTGACTAGAGCAGGTCTGATCTTTGGAAACCAGATAACAGGTAAACAGGAAAAACATTCAGTTATAGAACATAAGAACCCTATACATCCATATGTTTATTGCAGTAGTATTTACAATAGACAAGATATGGAAGCAACCTAAGTGTCCATCAGTAGATGAATAGATAAAGGGGTGGTGCATATATATAATGGAATATAATTCAGCCATAAAAAAAAAAAAAGAATGAAATCCTGCCTCTGTAACAACATGGATGGATCTACAGGGCATTGTGCTAAGTGAAATAAGTCAGACAGAAAAGACAAATGCCAGATGATTTTACTTCTATATGGAAACTAAAACACAAAACAAATGAACAAGCAGGGCTGAAACAGACTCATAGATACAGATACCATTTTGACGTTTGCCAAACGGGGGAGGAGTGCTGGGAGGGTGAAAAAGGTGAAGGGATTTAGAAGGATGAGTAGGTAGTTACGGAACAGTCATGGGGATGTAAAGCACAGCACAGGGAGTATAGTCAATAATGTTATAATAACTATGCATAGTGTCAGATGTGTACTAGATTTGTTGGGGTGATTGCTTCATGTTATGTAAATATCTAACTATGGGTTGTCTAATACTGTATGTCAACTGTAATTAAAAAAAAAAAAAAAGAACCCTATCCAGCCCAAGCTGGTGTGGCTCAGTGGCCTGCGGACCAATGAGTCGCGGGTTTAATTCTGGTCAAAGGCATGTACCTTGATTGTGGTTCATCCCTGGCCCTGGTCGGGTCATGCAGGAGGCAACCAGTCAATGTGTCTCTCAGACACATCGATGTTTCTCTCTCTCCCACTCTATCCGATGATAAATAGAAAAATATCCTCTGGTGAAAATTAAAAAAACAAAACAAAACAAAACAAAAAAACCCTATCCAGAATTCTCCCCTGGATAAAAAATCATTCCATCCTACTTCTACCCGAGGAGCTTGTGGTTAAGATGCCAAGTTTCTACCCAGTCGATCACGGCAGCTTTGGAAAGTATTCAGAACTGTGTCATCTGCCTCCCCCCGCCCCCACCACTTTCACAGACAACCTCAGAGCACAAAATGTCGAGTCCAGGCACCGTGGCCACTCACAATTCCTGCTGGGTTGAGTGAGCTGCAAGATGTACTCCTAGGTAACTGATCAAATCGGCTTGCCGTACCTAATTATTTAATTCTAACAGAATAAATGTTGGCAAGTGAGCAGCAGAGAAGAGGAATTTAGACCTTTCAGAATTATCCATTCATTCAAATATGGACTGTGCCCTCATCATGGGCCCAGTGAAGGGAGTGCCAACCCTGACTTCAAGGATTTGACATTTCACAGTCTAGTGCATGTGAGCCCGTTGGTGCCCAGGGCAGTGTAGGTGGGGTGGGCATGGGGACGGGAAGGCTTCAAGATGGAGAAACCCTTAGCTGGCTTTGCAGGAAGAGCCCATGGCCATCCTACTGCTTATCATCGACACTTCACAGGTGTGCTCTGAGGTTTTCTATGAATGCAGAGGGCAAGGGGGCAACACTGGCTTAGTAAATTTTCTAAAGCTTCCAGAATAAAGAACAGTTTACCAAGCTGGGAAGAGGGGAATGAGAAGAGTATGCCAGGCAGAGGGAGTGCATTACTCACTAAGGGGGTGAGAGCTGCTTCCAAGTCCCAAACACAGGGGTCTGTTAATGTCACCCCTGACTTATGATCATTGTTGAATGAATGAATGAGCATTAAGATTAGGGATGGATAAAATAATTTTGAGGATTAGAATGTTTAAATAAGCCTTAGTAAACAAAAGGTGGGGTTGGCTAAATGGAAGGGTAAACGAATTTTGAAATGAACATGGAGGAATGAAAATAATAGCAATTTTAGAATGATTAAGGAAGTGGTGAATGGAAAAGTGTTTAATTAGGGAAAAGGTAACTCAGGTAACATACCTAGGTCATCCTAATCTCTTGAAATCCAACTCACACTCTATACCATTGATTGCCCTTCTTTCATGTACTGAGGATCAGTTATTGTGTTTTGATTTTTTTTTAAAGATTTGTTATTGATTTTTAGAGAGTGAGAAAGGGAGAGGAGGAGAGAGAGAGAACCATCAATGTGAGAGTAGAACACTGATTGGCTGCCTCCTGCATGCCCTCTGTTGGGGAGCGAGCCTGCTACCCGGGTATGTGCACAGGACGATGCCCAACCAACTGGGCCACACTGGCCAGAGCAGTTATTGTGTTACTTTTGACAAAGGAACCCAATCACTCAAGTGGGCCATGATCTGTGTGTTTCTGACATATGGACAGTTGAGCATCACTGGGGTGTCTGGGAGAACCAGTCACCACTGCTAATCAGATGTACTGCTTTTTCCAGATTGAGCTTCACAATCTTCTGGGCTGAACCCTATCTCAGCTGCTGTCAGTGAGCACTCAGTGATCCTCAACCTGCCCCAGAAGCCATCATTGAATGCACATGCTAGGAGCGCCCTCTGGTGCCTGGCTGTTCTCCCAAGCCCAGGCCTGCCATTTTAACCAGCTAACACACCAAGTAGACAGAAGGCATATGGGCAGGCACAGGTCAGTGACTTTTACCTGGGTAATGACAGCAGAAACTAAAGAAACATCTTTGGAAAATCCAGTTGGTTGTGTTTTCCTTTTAAAATGCAACAGAAATATTAACTCATCACCAACATTTCTAAACTAGAGGACAAAACGCCTTCTGAGTGTTTTCTCTAATTTTTATGTATTAGCTACTACTTGACTACTATTGTTTACACATTCATTCCGAGTTTTTAGGTCAGAGTGTCTGGGACTCTCCTGGGTTTTGGCAATGGTCCTGGTGTCTCCGGCGAAGGGAAAGCTGTTTATCCCCTCACACTGGGCAGGTACTGATTTTTAGCATATGGGCCATGAATTTCACAGTTTAACTGATAGAGGGACATGTAAATTAATATAGTTGGCATTGATAAAGCACCTCCAACAAATTAATAAAATTGATTAGGTATAATACCAACAATATGAGATTCTGAAAAAGGCAAAACTATGAAGACAGTAAAAATATCAATGGTTGCCAGGGGATGGGGGAAGGAGGGATAAATAGGGGATTTTTTGGTAAAGATTTTGACACCCCTATTTTAATATGCTTTTTTTCTTTTTCAAAAATAAAACAACCCATTGATTGATTTTAGAAAGAGAGAGAGATTCATTTATTGATGCATTAATTGGTTGATTCTTATATGTGCCCTGTCTGGGGCTTGAGCCCACAACACACAGGATTTTTACAGCAGTTAAACTATTTTGGATGATATGGTAATGGTAGATACATGTCATTATATGCTTGTTCAGACCCAAAGAATGTACAACATCAACAGTAAACCCCAATGTAAACTGTGGACTTTGGGTGACACTGTAGTCACCCAATGTGTCAGTGCAGGTTCAAGGACTGTCTCAAATGTACCACTCTGGTGGGGGACGTGGCTGTTAGGGGAGGCTGTGCCTCGTGGGGCCGGAGGTACACGGGAAATCTCTGCACCTTCCTTTCAGTTCTGCTGTGAACCTAAAACTGCTCTAGGAAATAAAGTCCATTAAAATAAATTTAAAAATAATGAATAAGGGTAAAGAGAAAAATAATTAGTACAAATAATGAATAATTGAGTACTTCGGGCCCTATCATTGTTCTAAGTACTTTAAACACATTAACTCACTTAATCCTCATAACAATCCTGTACGGTTGCTACTATAATTATCATTCTCATTTTACGGATGAAGGAAGAGGCACAAAGAGCCTCAGTGACCTGCCCGGAAGCGGAAGACCTAGGCTCTCCCGGCAGGCCCTTCGCTCTTCACCATTACACCCGTTGCTCCTTGGCGTGAACCGAATCCACCAGGGATTCATCTTGCTAACCTCGTATCTCGTGCATAGATCATACTTCTTTTTTAAGCCAGGATTTTTTTTTTTTTCTAGAGACACCATACTGTTTTCCTAGGTGATACAACCCATGATGTTACTAGAGCAGGGAACCTTTGTTCATGATCTGTAGGTAGACTGCACTCAGGAACAGTTTCAGGAAAAAAGAAAAAAAAAATCTTTTTTTTGTAAGAAAAAAAAAAATCACAGCCCTGGAAGATTCTGCCTTGTGGCCTGATTTTCAGAAATGTATCTCTTGGTGAGAAATAGCTATAACTTGATTTTAAAATCATGGTAAGGTATAGCTTTGTGTTCAAGTTTTTAAAATCATAGGTTTTTAAATCTTCTACTAAGCCTACAAAATGGGCATCTCCCACATCCTCTCCTAATATCATTTATCCTGTAACTCAAAGGTCAACACGGGGGAATAGGAACATTTATCTGACTCTGCTCCTCTGACCCAGGAGACATGAAACAACATATCCCTGTCACAGAGCCAACCCGGCTCTGGAATAATCCCGAGCTGACAAAGCAGCAGACTGCACGCCCCTGACAAGAATGTAAATGGAGCCACCGTGGGGTGGGGGTGGGGGGGCTCCTTGTGTCCTCCAGCGCCTTGGGCACCATGCCTGGCGCTAGATAAGAATAGTTATTATTATTATTTGGATCAATAATTATTTGGGAATAATTCAAGGAAATAAGAACATAAAATAGAAGGCTAATGGGTCTTCTTGTTGCTATTAGGATACTAGTAAGTCATGATATTTTGAGAGGTGATTCGCATGATTAGAGTCCTGGGTATGAGAGCCACAGATACAAAGGGAAAGGTGAGCTTTCTCGAAGTGTCTCATTTCAGAGGAGATGAGACTGTGTAAGAGGCCATGCAGGTTATAGGAGCCATGGTGGTCTCGGAAGGCATAAAAGGGCACGTGTCATCAAGTAAACCTCACAGACAGCCCCAACCCACCAGCACAGAACTCCCAGGACCACGACCACCTGTGGTGAGGTGGTCTGTCTTCCAATTAGCAGCACAGGCTGCAGATTTCCACTGCACAGAGGACCCTAGTGTCCCCTTGCTCGTTGAGGCAGAGTCACCAAGTGGGAGAGCCACGAGGAGCCCTCCGAGGCTGTCCTTGACCTGTTCCGTCACAAACGCCAACAGTCTCAGACGCTGAGATGAAAGTGGGATCCTCCCCTTCCCACCCACAGTCCTCCCTGAGGGACACCTCAGCACTCTCTCTGGGACGCAGGATGGGAGCCAGAATTCCTCCATGGCCCCCAGAAGCCCCAGCAGGGTTATACTTTCTATAACTTTAAGGTCACAGACAGGCTCAGGACTCTTCCTGGAACCACATTTTCCACAAACCAAAAGTAACCCTTGGCCCAAGGTTTCCCTGACAATGGTCTTGAAACCCCCTCTACCAACTCATGAGGCTAACTGTGTTCAAATTGTCCGGGAGGCTTGTCAAAAATTTGCATAGCCTAGTCCGATTGGTGTGGCTCAGTGGTTGAGTGTCAACCCATGCACCACGAAGTCACTGGTTCAAACCCCGGTCATGGCACATACCCATGTTGTGGGTCAAACCCCCAGTGGGGGTCATGCAGGAGGCGGCCAACCAATGTTCTCTCTCATCAATGTTTCTATCTCTCTCTCCCTCTAAAAAGAAAGAAAGAAAGAAAAAAATTTTAAATGCATATCCTGAAGTTTCACCCAGCTCTACTAAATCAGAATTTCCAAGGGTAGCGTTAGGGTTATTCTAATTTAATCAGCTCCCAGGTGATTATGATTTGCAACCAGACTTTGGAACCACCATTGTAAGACAAATAAGGGGTGCAGAAAAAGCCCTGGGAGGGAGGAATGGGCAGATGAATGATGATGGATGGTGAACTGAATGGTGCTGCTTTGGAGAAGAATGTGCTAGAACACAGGTTTAACCACATCACCCTCCTTGGCCCACAGCCAAGGGTAAGACCTATTTCTTAGAGTGTCATTCAAAGTCTTCCACCATCAGCCCCAACTTACCTCCCACAACTCATCTCCCATCATCCTTCAGTCTGTTCTTTTCCTGCCTCTGGTCATTGAGCCCGGAATGCCCCGGACTCCTCCATCATCTACTCACAGAAATCTTTCTCCTCCTTCCTGGAACAGCTCAGATCCCCTCTGCCTGGTGCCCTAAGGCGGGATCCGTGGCTCCTATACGTACATCTGTTTGGCACCCAGTTCATCCTGCCTTGTATTATGATCAGTTGTAGACACACCTGTCACCTCCCAAACACTGTAAGTTTGAGGACCTGTCTGGATGATTCACTAATTTTGTACACATTTATTAGTGCCTATAGGAAGGAGCTGGGGACATAGCAGTGAACAACACATGGAAATTCCAACATTTCTCTGTCTCCCACAATCTCACCTAAGGCTCAAAGAAACATTACTGAATCACTTGGACAGCAGACAGCTGGAAGAAGCAGGCATCCTGGAGGCAAGGGCAGCGGCAGTCGAAGGAAGATGGGGCTCTAGCCAGAGAGGACCTGGCACCTCTATCCCAGGACCCAGACGGCAAGCACCTCACGGCCTGACCCTTTGTCGGCCACCACTTGTTCCCTCCCAGCTCACATATCCACTCCTGCTTCCCACCCTGGAGAGAACCGAGCTGGCCAGGATCCTGGCACAGGAGGGGAGGTGCAGACCCCTCCCTGGAGAGGCTAAGAGCCACGTACCTGAGCTCCAGACAGCCTAGCTGCAAGGCCATGCCCTCGCTGACCTTGCTGGCGTAGCGTTGCATGTAGTCACTTCGGAGCTGGTGGGGAGAAAGGCCGAGGTTGAGAGTCCCGCCCTCTTCCCCTGTTTTTCTGAGCAGGGGCCCCAGAAGATGGTAGATGCCCTGAACACAATCCTGCCACTCTGAGCTGTCTCATACGCCCGCCATGTACAAACTCGTAGCAGGAGATGAAGAGCAGAAGGGGTAGGCTCACCTTCGGCTCAGCCTCTGCCTCCCTCCAGAACCCTGGGCACTGCTGATCAAGCCTCCACAGGCTGAGGCTTTTGGGGTTTTGAAGTGCTTTAGACATGTTCCCACTGGCTCCATTAGGCAGGGAGTTCAGATTCCCCTCCCCCACTCCTCATTTTGGAGATATGAAAGCTGGGATTTGGAGGAAGAGTCAGTAATTTAGCCACAGCCCTGTTGATAAGTGGTGACATCTACTGTAAGAGAAACGTCTGGCATGGTCTCCAGCAAACCAGAAAAGAGATATAGGAGGGCACTAAGATCAGACAGAATATAATGATAGCAACTCACAGTGACTTGGCATTCACTGTCCCAGGTCTCATGCTAGGAACTTTACATGCACTATAGTTGGTGTGTTGGAGCAGCTCCAAACAGCTATTGAAAACTAGTTATTACATTTAAACATATTTTTCAAGCTGGCTGATATCACATTGGCAGCTTGAAACAGGTCTATTTACACCATGGAAATTGGCAAGTTCTACAAATCAGGTTTGTTTTTAATTCAGAGAGCTGGTTTACAAGCACACTGCTACTAATATAATTTGGTTCTCACGACAATCCTATAAAGTAGGATCATCATCACCATCATCATCATCATCCCCATCTTATAAAAGAGGGAACAGCTTTATGCAGGTGAAGTCCCAGGTACCACGTGAGTAAGTGGCAAAGCTCGACGAGGAACCAGTCCTGTCAGATGGCAGAGCCTGTGTGTGTAAGACTACAGCCTTCTCCTTGTACCTGCTCTGTCTGCTTCACCAGCCAGGTCTCCTGGGCAGTAAAGAGCCATCAGAAAAGTCCAAGAGGAGCTGTGAGCATATGGGGTGGGGTTAGCTGGCACTTAATTAGCTGTGCGAGAGGCAGAGTTGGACAGATGACCAGGGGCCAAGGAATGTTCCCAAGAGAACTTTTCTGCACTGGACCTCTATGGCTTTGTTCTCCCATCTCCTAGGAGAGCACAGGTAATACTTGGCATTTAAGGTGTAATAGGACACTGGGCACAAGAATTATCTTTTACCTGTTGGTAAAAATAAAGCAACGTGGTCCTGTCTTCCTTCAGGCTCTCCATGAAGTCCTCAGGCAAGTAGCGGATTTGAAGATCATACCTGCGACAGGAAATTAAGACTCTCTTGTATTTGAAGGAGAAGTAGGTCCGGCCAAGGGCCGGTGCAGCCTCAGCCACCACAAGCGAGGGGCTGCCCATGTGGATCCTGACCACCCATTTAGGACTTCTGGTTGGGTGGAGAACCATGGAGGACAGAGGGGTGGCCAGCACGAGTGCTGAGTCCCCTCACTTCCTCTTCCTGGCCACCAGTTTCCTTGGACCAGCCATTGGCCTGACTCGCCCTCTCCTAGCACTTCTCTTCCTCCTTCTCCATAGCATCCACAGAATCTTGTCTGGGGATGTTTCTATTATCTGTCCCAGATGGGGATGTGTTGTGAGCCCATTTCAGCCTTGGCAAATACATACATTGGACGCTGCTGGGGGACTACGCCTAAAACGTCACCCAGATGTTCTAGATGACTCTCAGAGGTCGGGAAGTGCTCCAGGGAAGGCTCCCCAGGGCCTCCCCACTCCACACCGCCCATTTGCGAGCCCAGGACTCCTCGCCTACCTCCACTCGGCTTCCACGTGCAGACACTCGTACTTGTCCTGCACCTCACCCACTGTCATCTGCGGGTGCAGCCAGTGGATCTCATCCGACTTCATGTGCTTCAGCCTCAGCCCATAGCACTCAGCCAGCTGGATGTTGGGCCCGATCCGCCCGCTCAGCAGGATGGAGGCAATGACCTCCTGTGGAGAAGACAGGGGCGCGATTCAGAGGTACCTCCTTCTAGGCTCCCACAGTCCTCATGCAGAAGGTGCTTCTCTAGGGTGATGTTCCATCTTAATGTTTTATTCATCTGTGATTCTCTAGCACTTGGTGCAAGACCTGGTACCCAGGGGGCTCTATGTGATGAATGAACAAACCAGCAAAGTGAAGGAAGAAGCAGCAGAAGTGAAGGAGAAGTTGCAGCGAGGCAAAGAGCACCCATTCTGTGGTTCCGATTTCATTCCAACCAACCGATTAATAATCACCGAGCATCCACCAAGTCAAAGGCACCCTCTGAGTGGTTTCCAATTTAGTCAGCATTACTCAGGGTCTTCAGTAGGCACTTCTAGGCACTTTGCATACATTACTTCATTAAATCCATAGGCACAGGAAAGTAGGTATTACATCCCCTATTTTGGTGGATGAGGAAATTGATGGAGGCCACACAGCTCATGGAACTAAGCTGGGATTTTGAACTCTGGCCCCCTGGAGACTGAGGGTTTCTACTAGAACAAGCTGTTTTGTGGAATGGTGGGGCTGGGCAAGACAGAAGGACAGGACTCACATTAGGGGATTAAGTGACACAGGCCCCACACAGAAGTATGACTACAGGAAACAGTGTTGATAAGAAATTCAATGCCCGCCTTATTCCTGCTTTCTTTCTGAACCGCAGGCCAACGCTCTAACCGCTGAGCCAAACTGGCCAGGGCTATTCCTGCTTTCTTGACCAGAAGTTAGCCTGACATCCTGATGCCATAGCTTCCAAGCCTGGAGAGAGAGCTGGGTTAAGAGGAGGACATTGGGCAGCTGCCTGGATGCTCATCTACAAGGCCATGCCTAGTTCTGAATCACACTGCTTCCAGTTTAACTCGGGTTTCTCATATGGTTCTGAATATAACTAGTGAATCAAGCCTATTTCTGGTGGAACAGAGAGGACCCTCAAAGGCAAATTTTATAACTCTCAAGCACTGACCAATCTCTGTTGAATGTCTTTGCAATGTGCATGCCACCAAGACTCCATACAACCATTTATAACACAGAGATAATAATGGCACCTATTTTGAATGGTTCAATGAGGACTGAATTAGATGAAAGTCCTTAGGACAGAACCTGGCATGATAAAGCTGGAGGGTGGAGGTCTGAAAAACTCTAGAATCCAGTGTAGATTCTGATACTTTTGTAAAAACAAAGATCAGAAAAACAAAAGTCTGGTTTCTTCTCCTTCACCTTTTAAAAACTCGTTTTCTTATTCCTTCTCCTAGAGGTGGGGGGAGGCCACAGGTCACAGTGGTGGGGCTGAGGGGTTGGCAGTGGCTGCAAAGCCAGAATCAGAGCACAGGAGGAGGTGGGGCTGGGCGAGAGGGCTGGTATGGTCAAGGGGCATACAGGGGGACTGAGCAGAGGAGTAAATATATTGAGGATAATGGCAAATGGGTTTCTTACTGTTGGAGAAAGTCCTTGAAATATAGAGAGGGGAAGGTCGGAGAGAACTTGTGGCGAGGGATTGCAACTGGAAGTATTGCTGAGAACTCATGGTGAGACAGAGAGAGAACACACCAGCACTTTGCTTATTGAAAGAGCCTAGGATTCATGGTGTCCTCATTGTCTTTTGGGTACCAAACACTGAGTGTTAGTTCCCAAATATCCTTCTCCACTAAAAGGATCCAGGGCTGCTAGGGGAAATGGCTGATTCCAGGACTAGGGAAAATAAAAAAAATTTTAAAAAGGAAGAGTTTGGAGAATGTTGGGGCTATGTAACAAGGAAACAATCAGCTTACAGAGGCTAGCATTGGCCAAATCTGGGACAACCTAAGTATTAAAATACACAAGACAGGAACAGATTACATCCTACTGAATAAAATAGAATATGAGATAGATAAATAAATAACTAAATAAGGGAAACAAAATGTTCTTCCTTGCAGTAGGATGCCAACTAGTAAATGTAGAAGGAATGAAAATAGAAAGTCACTAAACAGCGTTGGCAATAAACAGCGTTGGTTGGTTCGGGCATGATTCATCAAAGGATGATAAAGATGGAGGAGGGAGGTCGTATGGTAATAGGATATTGACATGGCCTTAGTATATCTTTCCTCAGACACTAATCATATACCAAGAAAAACCTGGCAGACACAAATGACCGGGTCATCCGTGTTAACATCATCATCAGTAGAACAGGTGAACGGAGCATGTCCCTCACCTTGATCCACCAAGAACACAGCACCATTTCGAAGACATTTCTGCCAAAAGTTCATGGCTGAGTCTGGTCATGACATTCAGGGTGAGGGGATCTTCTCACAGAGCAGTAGAATGAAAGGCCTGCACTCTTTCTGACTTAAGAACTCTTTCTGATCGGAGGAGACCAAAGAGATAGGACAACGGGATGCATTGCCTACTCCTGGACCCGAGGGGCTAGCTGGAACCCTTAAGAATGTAGCCAATTAGTCAGAAATGTGGGCGGCCTGGGAACCCTGCAGTTTGAGAGTGGGTTCTGAGGAGGGGTGTCCTGTAGGGACTGTGAAGTCTGTGCCAGCTCCAGAATTGCTTTGTAAAGTGCACCAACCCTCCAGGGGCACCCGGGGAGCAACGAGGATGACCATCACCGGTGACACAGAAAGACCACTCACTGAAGAGTCACGAACCCAGAGTCTGGCCCCAGTTCTGACACATACTTCTAGCAGGATGGCAAACTCCCTGGGCCACAGTCTACATCCTGCTGTCTCCACCTTTGTCATGTGAAGCTGCAGAATGTTTCCTTCATTCAAACCATCAGCGACCCTCTATGACGTACTCCCTCTGCAGAGCATTGTTAGGAACCCCAGTGCGCAGAGCCCTCTCCTCAAGGAGCTTCTATTTAGTGGGTGGGCAGAAGAAAGTAGCTTAAATTGAGGGGTCCTCCGAGCGGGGTAGGGAATCTGTTTAAATGAAGAAAAATTTGAGGTTGGCATGATCGCACTGTGCAGACTTTGGGATCAGCCCTGCCTCCCTCACCCTTTCCTGCCGCTCCCCAAATATTCCCGCAGCTCCTCAAGTATACAGTGGGAGCAGCAAAATCAGCCCTCTGCCCACGGCTCATAGATTGCCATTAATGAGTCAATATTTCTTTCTCTATTAATAAATCACTTCTTAAAAACAACAGTATAAGATGTCTTCCTACTCACTAAATTGCCATATGTAACACGATAGGGGAAAAGGAAAGGCTGTCTTAATTTTATCAGTTACTATTTAGATAAGACCAGGATTCTTTTTTGCTACAGGAAAACCTTTACTTCCCCTCACACGAGAGCTACTGAAAAGCAGGCCCTCAGATTGCCCGTGGCTCCCAGCATCTGGTGCCTTATTGCAAACAGTGGGGTTTCCATGGCGTTCCTTCCTGCGTGGCTAACGTTGATTTATTCTCGTTATCAGCTAGTGTGAAGACCCCAGACTGCCTTTGCCTCTCTCCCTCTTCTCTGGCATTTCCTCTTGTAGGTCAGAAACAAAGAAGGATTGTACACTTGTCCCCATGCCCAGGCCAATTTCTTTCCAAAAAAAGAAAGGTCACCCGAGCAATTAGTTACTCAATCCACTTTCTCTTCCTTTATTGTCACTCATCCACGTTTCCCCATCGGAAATTGATTTCTGTATATAGCACAAGAAATGGTTTAAAATGAATTTGTGTGTGTGCTTTTTTTCTTCATTGATTTTAGAGAGAGATGAAGGGAGACAATAAGAGAGAGAGAGATGGAAACATGGATGAGAGAGAACATTGACTGGCCGCCTCCTGCATGCCCCCCACTGGGGATCAGGCCCACAATCTGGGCATGTGCCCTGACCAGGAACCAAACCGATGACCTCTTGGTGCATGGGTCAGCGCTCAACCACTGAGCCACACTGCCAGGCTAAAATGAATTTGTTTTTACAAGGAGGTCTGACGTTAAGTGACTATATGTGTGGGGCTGTTTCTCATCTCTTTTTCTGTCCTTTGATCTAATAGTCTATCCTTGTATCTCAGCCACATTTTATGATTTCTTTAGTCCTCTCTGTAGTCTCATGATTTTCTTAAGTCCACCTTTTTTTCAAATAAAATACCTAATCTCTTTTTTTATTCTTGAGCTTATAAAACATATTTCATGTTAGTAGCTGGGTTTTTTAGAAATATGATAACTGCCCTGACCGTTTTGGCTCAGTGGTTACAGCATCAGCCCATGGACTGGAGAGTCCTGGGTTCGGTTCCCGCTAAGAGCACGTATCTCGGTTGCAGTTTGTCCCCGGCCCGGGCTGGGGTTGTGTGGGAGGCAACCACTCGATATCTCTCTCTCACATTGATGTTTTACTCTCACTCTTCCCCTCTCTCTCTTTCTCCCGCTGTATCTGAAGATAAATGCAAAAATGTCCTCAGGTGAGGATTTAAAAAATAATAATAATAATAAAGAAATATGATAACTGTGACTCCCCCCCCCCCTTTCATTAGAATCGACCTCGCCTTTACTAAGGTTATAGCTCTTACTGGGGGCAGCCTGCATCCAGTGACTGGGCACTTCAGGGGTATAAAGGCCCTGTCCTTCATTCCGATTTGCAACAATCTGCTGGGCCACCGCAGCTTCAGAGCTCCCTGAGTCACGACAGCATCACAGCCCAACTTCTCCCTCTGCCCGTCCTGAGTCCCTCACTCCCCCAGGTGCAGTTCAGGAGTGTATTCAAACATGCTTCGTGCATGCAAACCTCCTTCTCAGGTCTGCTTTCCTGGGCCCAGCCGGAGGCAAGGCCTTCACATTGCTTTCAGGCTTCATTTCACTCACCCTCCTTACAGTCTGCTCAATGAAGTCAAAATGCTCCTCTTTTTAGAAATGATTGAGTTTAAATTTTAATAAAGCGAAGCCTTAGTTCCCAAAAGTCTTGCCTGAATTCTGATTTAAAAGGTGTCACGTTAAGATTGAGGACATTTTCAAACAGGTGACTTTTTGTTGAAAAATCCTCATTGGCTCCTCATTCTCTGCATGCT